GGACGTCCTTCCAGTTAGAAGACCCTACATCTTCAGATGTGAGGAGTCAGTCTGGTTTCCTTCAGAGAGAGGGGTGAGCTTTAACTCTTGGAATTGTACCTGCCCCCCCCCAACAAATTTTATGGGTTTGGAGAGGAGTCCTTCCTTTCCAACATTCCAAGAAGACAAAAGAAAGATATAGATCGTAAGGAGGCTGGTGAGGCCCCTGGCCACAGGGCCTGCAAAGGGCAGAGCAGAGCTGGGATCTCCGGCGTCCCCTTGCTCTGCATTTCCCCAGAGACCAGAATGGGGTTCTTCAAGTTTAATTAAAAACAGGATGTCCCTGCTGGGCCTCTCGTGGATGTTGCTAAAAATAAAGCAGGGAAGTAGCCTGGCCTCTTCATGGTTTAATCCCATTAATTTGGGGGTGGGGGGTGGGGGGGAATTGGAGCTAATAAAAGACACGATTTGTTTCAGATTGCTGTCTGGGGTTGTCTCTCCCTCTCTGTGCTGTGACGTCCTGGATCTGAAGTTCTAATGCCATCAGCACTGGGCCATTGGTGCCGTGGGAAGGGAGCAAAGGGACAGACAGCTCCCTAAATGTGATTCTGCCAGGCCGTCATCCTCTCACTCACTCTCAGGGTCACTGGGACTCGTCACCCCAGCTCTTTGCTCACTACTCTAGTCCCACCCACGTCATAGACCTGGTCTTGTGTACTTCCTGTCTGTGAGCTGATGCACATTTAAAAAACCAAAACATCTCATCTGAGTGCTATGAGAGCCATCTGTAAATGTGGGTCTCTTAACAGAGCACTCACTCCCGCCTCAACCCCACAGGGTACTCAGACATTAGCCTCTTGCTCCCCGTTTGCAAATATATTCATATAAGGGCATCCTGACTTCCTCTGTTGTTTGCCTTTCTTTTGTTTTGTATTGTATTAACCTCCTTATTCCTCTGTCCCAACCCCACTCCTTTTGCCTAACAGCTAACTCTTCTGTTGAGACTTCTGTTGAGGGTGAGAGCCTCATTTTCTGATACAAACCCATTTGTCTCCTGGGTCGTTCCTTCATTTGTTCAACCAAGAGTTTTAGGGAGTAATCTGTAGGTTATTACACAGCTGACTTCCCATAGCAATTCCATAATGATAATTTTATGAGCCCCAGTTATGAGAGGCTCAGAGCAACAAGGAATGCTACAGATTGGTGGGTTTTACTTGCCACCAGAGGGCCCAGACATCGTGTAGGCGAAGGCTTCCATAACGATTATTAAGGCATTACGAGAATCACCATACCCACCTAAGTGCTTTCGGTCTTCATTATGGTGTCTCCCAAGGCCTGTGCCAGAGGACCGGTAAGATACAAAATAAGAAAGAGCCTCTCAGTCTTGTTAATAATTGAATCCCATCACCTAGCACATAGTAGACACTCAGTAAGTATTAAAGTATGAATAATCATTTTTAATTCTCTCAATACCACTGCCTGCAAATAAGGGAATAGCACTATATCGGAGAAGCAGGTGTAGATGATACATTCGAACTTAGCAGCAGCTCCATCTGCGCGTTGCTCGTTGGAGAAACACCAGTACTGCGGCGGAGCCCGCAAGGCCCGGTGGTCCCTCTCTGCCCGCTCTGGCGCCCACCCTGTGCCCCATCCCCTGCACGCTCTCTCAGCCTTCTTACCGTCCCCCCCGCCTCCGTGTCTACCTGTGTGTTTCGCTCTGTCCTTTACCTCTTTAAGCGCTACGCTTTGTTCACCTCTTTGCTCAGTCCTCACTCCTCGGAGCAGCCTAGACAAACTCTCCTGACGAGGCCCAGTATCCCCAACACATCACCTCCTAAAACCACACAGCTTCCTCTCTGGCACTGCTTTCAACAAAGGTTTTATGTGCATGTCTTTGATTGTTTGGACAATGTCGGTCTGCCTTATTTACCAGTAAACCCATGACGGCAAGGATAGGGTAGACGGTAAGGCCTGGTATGTGGTAGTTGATCAACAGTGATTTGGTGCATGACGGAGTGAATGGGTGAGGGACTGAGCATGGGCTGGGGCAGTCAACGAAGGGCGGTCATTCCCCCGACCCGGGGTCTGCGAGTGGCATCCTCAGTCCACGGGCCCTGAAGTTGTCTGCAGCAGCCAGTGTGTATCCAGGAGCCGATTTGCAGGGTTTCTAAGGTGAGAGCCCATCATTTCTGACAGACTGAGAGGTTTCACATAAATATGTTTAGTTATATGAAGAAAGGGAAAAGAAAAAGAAAACAGGGCGGGGAAATGAGAAAAATTATGAAAGGATAAAGGAGGAACTTGAGAATGAGAAGCATGAGAAAGAACATTGAGAGAGGACGAGAAGCATGAAGAAGGCGCTGGGGTGGAAAACAGTTATTCCCGAATGAATCCTCTAAACGTAGTGAGCGTAAGCCTGTACCAGCCCCGTGTTAGGGACTCACAGGGGTTCGATGACTAGCCAGATCCAACTGCCACCCTTTTAGATTGCCACAGATCTAAAAGGACAGTGTCCTGGGTAACTACAAGTCAGAACAAGGGAGAGGAGAGGTTTAGATGGAGCCATTTGAGAGGAAGGAGAATTATACATAGCAGAGAAGGAAAAAAGACCATGGAAGGCTTCTTGGAGGAGGGTAACATATCGGTCTGCTCTTAGCACACAGATAGAATTTCAAGGTAAAAGAAGAGGGACAGGTAAACACTCAGATAAAAGTCTAAACAAAGCTGTGGGTCCAGTAAACCAAGGTGTGGGTTGAACGGGTTGCCAGGCTCGCTACAACCTCTGCAAAGCCTCTGAACCGGGAGATCCCTCCTTTGGCCAGTTCCAGACACGCAGTAGGTGGCACCCAGATGTACCGAGTGAGATGAGCTTACTGAGGCCAGAACAGACTCAGGGAAGGAACAGTGAGCCCCCAAAGTCGAGGACATGTTACCCATGTATCCTTTGCACTTCTGCCAAAAAAGTTAAGTTGCAGTTTGCTGATCAATGCTCTTCTCATATCACCTCTACAACTTGTGAAGCAGGTCAGCTCCTGCTCCTTTAAAGAGGTCATACTTACATGATCTAGTGCAATACTGGCCTCTAGATACTGTTTTTGTTGTTGTTTTAAGACTCCTGGGCTTGCGAATTCACAAAACATTCAGATTACTCGTATGTAAGTTTGACATTTCTGTGAGGTGTGTGTGTTCGTCAGCTGGTGCTCCCAGTTCCCATACACTGGGTCAGGAGTTACAAGAAGAGCTTCCAGTAGGAGAAGAAACGCCAAGGAAAGGGTGCTAGACCTCAGGACACTGCTGGCAGAGAAAGACTTCTGCAACAGGGGGAAATGGGGACAACTGTAACTGAACAATTAAAAAAAAAAGAAAACGAATGAAAGACTTCTGCTTTCTACTCCTGTTACTAAATATTTACCTGGCCTGTAAAATCTGAGCATCTCTTCTTCCCACTTGTAAGGATACCTCTCTGTAGCCTTTTCTAGTTTCCCCAAGGAGTCAGGTTTCCCCAGCAGCTTGGCACGTGGCACACTCAGCCCAGCACGGATGGTGGTGTAGACCTGGGCTGGAGGGTCGGCAGGTAGGATTGAGGGGGGGGGGCAGTGTGTGGCTTGCTCCTTGCGTCCAGAGTGCGCTTTCATGAACATTTCTTGGGAAAGCTGACTGTGGCCAAGTTTATGCCAGTGACACCCATGGTCCCAGACAAGGCCACAGCTGTGAGCTTGACCTTCCTCCCAGACAGAATCACTAGGGAGGCAGCGCTCAAGTTCAGTGAGAGTTTTGGGTGACTTCAAGACAGACTGAGGAAGCCTGGCCTGAGGGGCCCCTAAGCGGGGAGATCAGCCCAAGGGCAGCACACTGGGTGACTCCCTTTTCCGTTCAGGTGTCACCACTGGGAGTAGAATATTTACCCCTGCCCCCAGAACATTTTAGGGAGGCAGGCTGATCCTAAACAAGACTGTAAAGCAGATAAGTTCAGCCTTCAGTATCAGTCTTGCTCCCATTTCCCAGCTGGAGGCTGCCTGCCCTTAGCTGCCTTGCTCTCTCTCCCCCTTTCAACTAGTCATTGCACCGCATATGGAGTTCCAGAACTTTCTATATTTTTGTGCCCATCCTCTGGCAAAATTCACTTCTTCTAAAACTCCTTCCCAGAGCTAAAGTTCCCAAAGTAAATGATTAGCAAAGTCATGATCTGGGCATAAAAACAACGACTTCCCTTTTTCTTCCCACATTAAACTGCACCTGACAACCAGGGCCCTTCCTGGGGGTGGGGAGGCCGGCTCAGTGCCGCTCACAGAGCTCTTTCAGGAGGGCCCCCTTTAGCTCGTCAGGTTTCAGATGGGCCCAGTCTACCTCAAGCCTGACACTGTGTAATTAGTTAGGCCAAAACGTGGATGGTAGGTTGTTTCCCTTTTGGGGATATTTGGGAACTTGCTGAGAAGGAATGCGAGACCATTGCCACATACAAGGGGACAGGCACTGGACGGATGGGTAACGCCCGTTTGTGAGACCAGGGCCCCCACTCGCAGACTGTCGGGCACACGGCATCCTGTGCGTCCTAGCTGGAGACCACAGCAGACACCAACCTGTCCCTCTGGCCTGAGGAGTGTCACCTGCAGCCTCGTCCTGGAAGTGGGGTCCTCAGAACAGCAGCATCAGCATCACACAGGAGCTTGTTGGAATTGCAGAACCTGACACCCCCCTTACCACCCCCCAACCCACCCTACCCAGTCAGATTCTGCATTTACACAAGATTCCCAGGGCATTCGTATGCCCATTGAAGTTTCACACCCGGGGGTCTGGTGGGTCTCCCTGACAGTTGTCACTCCTGAAGTTTCTCAGTGCCACAGCGAAGCTCTATGGTCATCAGAGACGACACACCAGCAGGCTCGGGGGGGCCAGGTGCCGTGTGAAAGGGAAGCATTCCCTTCACTTCACCCCTGTATTGGGGAGATTTAATGACAGGGCTGTTGTGGGCCAATCCAGCCCACGTTTCCCTCTTCGCACTGTGTCGCGTCTGTCCCCAGGCGATCTACAAGATGGTTTCCTCCGTGATGAAAATGCCCGAAGATGAGTCAACCCCAGAGAAAAGGACAGAAAAGATCTTCCGCCAGATGGACACCAATAGAGATGGTAGGTGGCCAAGGCCGCTCTGCTTCGCTCTGCTCCTAGTGGGGGGCCGCTGGAGGGTGCGGGGGTGTCCAAGCAGGGAAATGCCACTTGGGGACAAGATATTGGCCCCAAGGACCTGGCTCACAGCCCTTTCTTTGTAAAAGTGGCTCGTCCTGCCTGCTCCGTGGAGCAGGCCAGAGGAGGATCAGGGTGCGGACAGGTCTGGGCCAGAGCAGGCTGGGTCCCTGCAGGTGAGCTAAGGAGAAAGTGGGGAGGGACTTGGTGTCATTCTACCCAGGCCCTGGTGGCTTTCCCCAGCTGGCTGGGGCATTAGCGGGCTCCCTCTCACACACTCTGTGGTTTCCCAGAGCCAAGTGGGCCCCCACAGCCCTGGGTGGGTGAACGGGGAGGGGAGGGAGGGGGCCCATAGGTGCTGCCCTGAGGGCGCCCTCACACTGCAAGTTCAACCGGGGGACACAAAGCAAACCAAAGTGAAAAGGAAGGTTCGGTTTCAAACTTCAGAACAGAAGGTTTTAGATGTTGGGTTGCAGGACAGAACACAGGAGGCCCCGCCAGCTTCGAATTTTGGATGAACAACAAATGAGTTTTTTCATACAAGTATGCCCTTTGCAGCATAGGGAACATACATATATGGAAAAAAGTGTTGTTTATTCAAAATTCTAAGTTAACTAGGCATGCTGTGTTTTATTTACTGGAACTGGCAACCCTATCTGGGCGTCGCACCTGGGTGTGTCGTGGGCCATAATAAGCCCTGAGTCACTCACAGCTCCTGCTGTTATTACCAGCTCACCTGCTCTGCTGGGCGGCCCCCGAGATTCTTGTCCATAATGAGCTGATGGACAGACTGACAGGAGGCTGTGAAGTAGAGCAAGCCTCTCTCACCCCACACCCTCTGGGGGACCTGCTGCCTGAGGGTTTGTGGGTGCAGGCCAAGCTCGGCCCTGTGCTTGGCCTCCTCTGCTGGGGTGCCCTTACCAACTAGGGCATCTAATCTCCCTTAGTTCCCTGACTCACAGCAAATAACTTGATTGTTTTGCAAAGCGTAGACAAGTTCGGGGTTATTTTAATAGTTAATGAACTTGCTGATGTCTAACCGCAGATTTTGCTCTGCTCCAGGGAGCACAAGCGGCTGTGTGTCCTGTCCCCAGCCACCTCTTTAGAATAGGGCTCTGGGAGGGAGAAGATCCAGACAGCGAGATAACCCCCGAGGCTGAGTCCAGCCCCTGCCCAGAGCAGGACTCATCCAGTCTCCCGCCATTAGATTATTCTTGGTGGAAGCTCTTTGCTTCTAACCCCTGGCTGCTGACTCATTGAGGAAAGTCTGGGACTGCAGTTAGCCAGGCGACACCTTGGAAGCACCAGGTAGTTAACCAGAGAGAGCTGGTTGTGCACGTGGAACACGCGGTTGGTTCTGCTACTTTGACCTGTGGGCCCAGAGCCGCCCTTTGGGGGATCCCAAAGTGGCCAAGGGACAACTGTCATCTCCATTCCCTCCGCTGGCCTTCACACCCGAGGAAACTGTCACCATTTCAACCGGTGCCTGAGCCTGGGCATAGCTCATAAAACGTGGCCAGGACACAAGGCTTACAGGGGGTCTGCTCTGCATGTTGAGAATCAACAGATAAATTAGCTCCTGCCCTTTCCCTTCATGTGGATAAGGTGAATTTGGCTAACCAGGAACTAGGATCTGGGGGAGGGGGCTGTGGCTGAGGGGAAGACAGATGTATTGGGGTGGAGGGTAAAGGCTCCGATAGATGGCACCCCTCCTGCCTGCAGCTGGAATTAGCTGAGGAATAAAGGGCAACAACAGAGGCAAGAGGGCCGAGCTTCATTGAAGGACGCAGCTCAGTGGGCGTGGGGGCCAAACCCACAGCAGCAGGGAGCAGGCAGGCTGATGCCAACCCTGGGAGGGCAGAGAGAGAAGCGGGCAAAGCTGAGCGGGAGGGCTGGCAGCTCCTCCCAAAGAGGGGCCCTCTGCAAGTGCCAGGAATGGGGGAGAAGCTTTGCCTCCTGCCAACAACCTGACAGAGGGACCTTCCCAAAGGGACGCGGGTAGGAGTGAGATCCCAGGGGCTGAACCAGCCTGTCAGGGTAGGAGAAAAGCACCCCGATTGACAGGAGGGACCGGGGGCAACTCCTCTTCCTCACCCACGTACCCCTTTATTTTCCTTACTGCATGTGCTGTCCAAAAAGAGCCATCCCTCAGCTATCACGGTGGCCTCTTGCAGAGGCCTGAGTGACCCCCGAGTGACCCGAAGGAGCCCCGACCCTCCCAGTGACATCTGGGGCCCAGGGGCCCAGAGAGCCCAGCTCAGTCCCATGAAGGCCCGGGGCCATTCCTTGTACAAACACTGAGTGAGCCCCTCGGGGTGGAAAAGTCAAGAGGGCAGGGGTCACGTCAGGGCTGCTCAGCACCCTGCCAGGCCAGGCACACTGTGGGCTCTCAGGAAGAAATGTGCGTGGGTCTTGCATCCAGAAGACAGAGTGTGGGCCTCGAGGCAGGTGTGGGCCGGCAGGGGCAGCGGGAGCCGGCACTGCCTCCGAGATGCAGTGGGAAGAGCGTAGGTTCACCAGCCGCCACCCGCCACCACTCACCCTCGCTCTCTTCTCCCACTTTCTAGGAAAGCTCTCCCTGGAAGAGTTCATCCGAGGGGCCAAGAGCGACCCGTCCATAGTGCGCCTCCTGCAGTGCGACCCCAGCAGCGCCGGCCAGTTCTGAGCCTGCGCCCCAAGAATCGTAGAGCTGCTTGTGTTCCCTTTTGATTTTCCTTTCTGACTTTTTTTTTTTTTTTGGCCAAATATTGACGGTGATGCTGTTCCCTGTGCAGTCAGATGCACCTTCCTCGTGACGCCTTCAGCTTCTTTTGCGGTGGACGCTTCCTGGGAACGCCCGGAGCCCCGGCGCTCGCGGAGCGCGTGTGCCTCCTGCACAGACTTTGTGGTGTTCGTTGTTCCGACGATGTTCAATCGTTGTTATTCTTTTCTCTTGATTCTAATGTCTCTGTTCTAACACCGAAGACTTGGAGAGGCAGAAGAAGGGGAACCAATCCGGTGCCGGGATGAGACGGCAGGCTTCGAGGGGCTTGTTGGAAAAACAAAACTCCCCCCGGGTCTGTTGTCACGCGTGCCCGAGGGGCGATGGCACTGGACACAGGATTCCCCAAGTAAGAATAAGGAAGCTTCTGGGGCCAGGCTATTAAAGGGACCGCAGGACTTGCCCCCTCGCAGGCCTGCCTACCCCGTTCCCAGCGGGCTGCAGTTTTTAAGCTGTGAACATTTCGAGATAAATTAATAGCAATGAGGAAAAGATGGCTCAGCTCTTTTTTCACAGGTTTACACTAGTTGAGCTAAGATGAGTTTCTTTGGAAATTAATCACAAATGGTAACATATATTCCAAGACCAGACCCATCTTGTTGCCTCTTGTGATTTAAAAAAAAGAAAGGAAGAAAGAAAGAAAAGAATGCTGTATATAAAATATTGGGTATTGCAGACCAAATTAAGTGTTTTGCCTTGTTCAAATAAAATGCATGTGTAGTGAGCACTAATCCAAACTTATTACAGAAGACTTTCTAGTAGCTTATTGTGAAGTAAGCCAACTATAATGAACGTCTGTGTCTTGTTTTACAGTCATATCTGTCTTTGCACAAATGCACCAATCAACAGGTATATTTTATATATTCCAGAAAAGTACCAAGTAACCATGACTAGGGCCCAGACTGAGTTGTGAACGCTTTTCCAGAGTGGCGATGCCTGGAGGACAGAAGCAGGGCAGGCTGAAGTGGGCTCGTGGATTGGAGCGCCAGAGGGTCGACCTTAGGTTGAGGTGATGGCTTGACCGCAGGCCCCGCAGCTCATTGGCAGCCTTACGCTGGAGGCGATCGATATTCTGTAGAGCCGGTGGGGACTACCTGGTGGCTGGGTCCACGTGAATGGTTAGGGAGCCGCATCCGAACGACTTCCGGCCTCGGCTGGCCCTACCGGGAGTTGGAGGTTGGACCATCATCTGATTCAGCGTGAAAAAGCCAGGGGCGAGTGCGCCCATGATTTCCCAGTCCCGCTGTGGGAAATTCAAAGGTGTTTTCCATCACCGTGTTCTTTGAATGCAGATCTTTATTTCCAGAAGCGACAGCATAAATTTGAGTTGCTTTTCAGTCAGGAGACCGCGTACCCACTAAATGGAATGAAAAGTTGAGGGTAAAAATTGCAGGTCGCAGGGGAGTGACGACATTTCAGTAGGCAGTAGGCACGAGGAAACCCAAACACACAGCTGCCCCAAAAGAAGGCGCAAAAGGGAGGTCCCCGGTAGGCCTGTCTGCTGTCACAGAGAGATAGACATCGTAAGCCCGAAAAAAATTATGATTCTGAGCTGGTTCCAGCCTCCAGATTCTTGGGTATTACTTGAATCCATTTTAACGGGTAGCAAACATCCACATTTGCGTGGTTAACCAATATGAACCAATTTTGCAGTATGAAATTTTGAGACCTGGACTCAGTGAAATAATTTTAATTCTTCTCTGTCACTTTCTCATAGTGTTTCACCCTGAGACTTGCCAAGTTCCTCTGTAGCCCGAGTGGTAAGATCTAGTTTTGAAAAGTAGGGAATTAACCTAAGACATGGGGTGCAGAGGGGGCGAGGTGACCCCGCCCCTCTGTCCACAGCGATCAGGAGTCACACCTAACTTTGCCCGGATCTTGGTTCAAGATCTAATTCCCCCTTTAATTCTCCTTAGATGCTGAAGCGAGTGAATGTTTGGGAAACCCACCGGGCTCTGCCCTTGGTCACCATAGCTTGTTGAGCCAGCCTCGCTTGTTCCCTGGGACCTGGAGCTGGAGTGTGGAGCAGGGGGGAGGGTCTCCAGCTGTTCAGGAGCGAAAAGGAGAGCCAGACGCATGGCTAATGAACACCAACACACCCGGAATGTACGGAAATAGCCCTCATCCTGGCCTGCCATTGACCCTGTCTGTATTTTCTCGGGGTTGTTTTTCTTCCCCTCCTTCTTCCCGGGAAAGCCTTTGCATGTCTAATCCAATGCACTCCTTTTTGGCCGGGGAACTCTGCAGCGCCCAGAAGGCTGGATGCCTGAAGATTTATGTCACTCCTGTGCCGGGCTGCTCATTGTCATTGCTGTGTTGAGGGACCCCTGGAAATGAATTCTGCTCTGTCTGAAATTGAGCCAGGCTGTGATGTTCAAGGGACTGGAATAAAGTGGCTTATAAATTGAAGGATGATACAGAGTTCTTGACTGTTCATACCCTTGCTTAGCGGGGAAGGGGTGCCCAAGGTGCTGTCCCACCCGTCTTGATGCCCCAGGAGCACCTGCCACAAGTACACGTGATAATATACAATCTCATCCACCGCATCACGTGGAGCAGACCCCACACTGGTTGACTTCGTCGCTCTAGCTGGGCAATCGAGCGTGTTAGGTGTTTAACGGTTGTCTGGGTCATGCGGTTTCCATGCCTGCACTGCTGCTCCAGCTGACTCTGTGCCCAGTGAGGGTCCAGGTGCTGGTTCTGGTCTCCTCCTGGGTATGCGTTCTGCTCTGGAGAGACAAAGGAACCAGGGTTTGTAAAAGGGGGCATGGGAGGGGCTGCCGAGCCCCACGCCCCACCCCAAAGCACCCTTGGTCTCCGCTCGGGCTTCCTTGTGTCCTTCCCCTCATGGCCTTCACTTTCTTTTCATCTCCTCACCTCCTCACAACTGCAGCTACAAACTCTGTCTCTCACACGGGTGCGACGGAATGAGAAACTGAGGCAGCGTCCTCCTCAGTGGGAAATCAATATCCTCTTCCCCTTTCTCTTCCCCTCTCGATCTGAAGAAGGGTCAACAGAAAAGATGCCACGATTCAGAGCCCACGCCTTCAAAGCCAGGTCAGATCAACCGTGTGTCTGGTTTTCGCGCCCGTGGGCCCCGCCTCCAGCACAGAGGGCCATTCACGTGGGAAACAAAGGGTCGACTGCCAGCTACGGTAGGAGCCCCAGCTGGACCTCACATAGGAGCTGAGTCGGCCGGGAGCAGAGTCTTTTTCTACTTGATACAGTTTCTGTGTAGGCCCAGCGATGGCCTCGATGCCCACGAGCACTGAGTGTGGATAACCGTGTGTCCCCCGTGGCAGTGACTGTGAGAAGGTGGCTGGGAGCCGCCACCCCAATTAGGAGTCTGCAGCCCCACACTTACTGGAGGCCAACCTGGCCATTTCCAGCCGATTCCCAAGCCCAGGGCTCTTATTTTCAGGGTATCGTCCCAACACCTCAACTCAGCTGGCTCCCCTCACAGCCCAGTCCAGGTGTGGAGGGCACACGTCGGCTGAGGAGGAGATGGGGCATCCTCTGAGCCACGCAAAGGAGAACTGTTCATGAGAACTCTCTCTGAAAGAAATAAGATGCTTCATGTTTGCCCCTCCTGTCTTTGTCAGGAGATACTTAGCACTCTCCTGGAATTTTCTGTTTTTTAATGTAGCTTGAAGAAATAAGAGAAAGAACATTGAGCCCTGTATCTTCCAAGCAGTAGAGTATCAGTGAAATCCACCTAAAATAGAAAGATTGTTGCAGAGTGAAAGATGTTCAGGCCAAGGGTATAACCAATGGTATATTCATTTCAGACAGGTTTCTCGATAGTTGAGTGCCAACCACGTGTCGGGACTTAGAGAGGTCTGGGGCACTTGCCGCACTGGGTACTGATGTGCCAAGCCTGGCCCCAGACACGCCTAGGGCTGCAAACAGTGATACTTCGAGAACATTCCATGGTGTGGTGTTAACTCCCTAGGGCAGCTCAGAGAGCGGTCAGGGCCTCAAGGAAGCTTATATCATGACTGCTTTTCTCCACACTATTCCAGGAAATGGATGGCAGTTTAATAGTTTTCTAGAAGAGATGGCAAGACTGCTTCGAAATTCTGGACAGCTCAGCTTGCTGACCCCATTAAATACTCATAGTCCTGCCATCAGTCTGTCACACGCATGTAGACGGAGGGCACACCCTCTCTCCAAACGTACCTTTCCAACATCAGTGTTTAATCCCTCCGCTGGGCTCCCACTGAGTGTTCAGTGCTGGCCCAACACAGTACCAAGCACTACAGTCCTGGAGTTGCGTGCGTGTGTGTGTTGGTGGTGAAAGGCTTGGGTAGGAGTTACTAGTAAAGAAGTAGGAGATCAAGCTCACGGCTCAGCTGGTTAGTAAGTCTGTCCAGCACCTAAAAAATGACTGCGAAGGAGCTTACACTCTGTCCGATGGCTGGTTCTTTCTTGACTGGTGCATGAAAGAGCTGTTTGCCACCCAGGGAATGAGCGGGTGGCATTTGCCTTAGTGGCCTTCTAACATCCCCTTCCTCTCTTTTGCTACTTTTGAATGATTAGAGCCCTGCCCCCACTGTTTCCAAAATACCCACGCACCCATTTAGCTCAGAGAAGTGTAGGGATGAAGGACCCTGTAGACAGAGGGCGATTATGCTGAAGTGGTGGGCCAGGAATCCCACTGGGGAATGTTTACATGTAAAAGTCGAGCCCCCGCCTGACCGGTGTGGCTCAGTGGCTTGGGCATCACCCTGCAAATTGAAAGCTCACTGGTTCGATTCCCAGTCAGGGCACGTGCCTGGGTTGCGGGTCAGGTCCCCAGTAGGGGGCTCGTGAGAAGCTCCCTTCTCCCACATTGATATTTCTCTCCTTCTTTTTCCTTCTTTCTAATTAAAAAAAAAACAACTTAAAAAAAAAAGAAAATAAAAAAGTAGAGCCCCTGTACATTTCTGTTAGAGACCATTTTATTTTTAGAAAATATTTATTTATTTTTAGAGAGAGGAGGGGTGTCTCCTCCCCCCGTTTAGAAGGAGTTAGCTATGGTGACCACAGAGGCGCCTGTTTGGATCTTCTGTCACCAGAACCCGATTCTGAAAGCACAGCTGATTGACGGGCTCCGGCTGCAACACTTGGAGCCACCTGTGTTCACTCTGGGGCAACGCTCTTCCCTGGCTGCCCCCTGTCAATGCCCAAACTGGGGTGATTAGGATCCCAGACGGGGTTCTTCCCGCCAGTGACCTTTGCCCAGGGACTCCCCACCAGCCTGACAGTCCGAGGCCCCGCCCGCCCAAGCCTCCTCCCTTCCCTGTCTCCTGTTTCAGGGGCCAGTCTGCGTGCTCTCCGGTCTCCTCCTGCTCGTTTCCCCTTCGCACGATTTCCCCCAATAAATCTCCTAAATATCCAATCCCATCTTGGCTTCTGCTTCTTGGAGGACTTGAACGGATGGCCATCCCTTCCCCGTTGCTGCTGACCCTCAGAAATGTAAGGCCCGGACACAAAAGCTGGCAGCCTTCCCAAAGCGAGGTTCTCGTGGGTGACCTCCCGTCACACTGGGAAAGGCTGAGGGTAAGGGGCGTTTCCATGCCTTAGGACGGAGGGGATATTGGATCCGACTCCCCGGGGGGTAAACTGCTATTAGTGCGCTGCTGATGTCAGGCTGATACCACCTCACACATCTACCTCTGTCCCCCGAATTCGGCACAGCACCTGGTCCATAGTAACTGAACTGAATTGGTACAGAGCAAGACCCTGTGGCTTGACAACTGGTCACCCTCACTACCCAACCACAGCCCAGTGCAGGGAGGTCGGAGGGGGCACTGGCACACGTGGTGAGCCAAGTTCACTGAGGAGCAGGGCGAGGACTGCCAGGGGCCAAGGGAGGGACTGCTGCAGGGAAGGTGTGGAGGCCAGTGCATCCCCCGCAGGACCCCACTTAGCCCAGGAAACATGGACCGTGGCCAAAGGCCTCAAGGCCCATTTCTAATCCCACGGTCTCTCCAGGAACCTCAATACGCACTTCTCCAAACCTCCTCTGCCCTCCCCAGTGGTCCAGATATAGAGGCTGCTGGGAACGCCACTGGGGTCAAAGTCAGAGAAGGCTGTCTGGAGGTAAGTTTTGAGTAAAGATTTGAAAGCTGTGGACATGGCTAGAGAGAAGGTAAGATGTGGAAGAACACAGAAGTGTTCTTTTGTTGGCACAGAGAGACTCCCAGGACATAATCATGAATGACAGCTGGAGGGGTGTGGGTGGCTCGGTGGGTGGGGCTTCACCGAGGAAACACCAATAAGCATCAGGACAGTAAAGCAGGGTGTTTACATTTGAGCCAACAGATACTAGTGAGCCTGTGGGTTCCAGGAGCAGAGTGTCATGATGGATTTAAAGTTTCACCCATGGGGTTTCGGCCTCTCTGTAGAGGGTGGAGCAGATGAAGTAAGGAACCAGCCAACTCTCTGCAAATTCAAGTGGGGGTGAGTGATCTGGGAGTGAGGAAGCTAAAGGTGAAGGGCAGAACCTCCCCTCCGCCCCGGGGAACAGGTCAATGGCAACCACGCTGGTGGCCTGTCAGTCACCCTGCAGGCCTCCTGCTTTCCGAGGCCCCCTCTCACTTCACCTTGGGGTGGGACCCAAGAAGGCAACCAGAGGAGACGCCTGCTGTGCTGAAGCCCGGGACCCGAAGGCGCCCAAGGGAGCCTGAGCCCTCCCAGCTCACACGGCCTCCTTTCCGATCAAAGGACCCAGCACTCGCCTCAGGAGGAAGCACAACAGACACTGTCATTTACTCTTACTTTATGAATATTTATTTTTTCTTCTTAAAAATGTACAAAAAATAAAATAACTGTATTTGTAGTTTATAGATTCCCCCTCTCCCATTTACAAAACTATTAAGTTACATTTGCCTTTTTTTTTTTTTAACACAAGAGCAAATTGTCCATCTATCAATCTCCCTTGCTTGCCTTTAAGAAAGGGCTGTTCATAGAATTTGGCACAAACCCTCTGTTTTTGTTGCATTTCATGATTTTAAATAAGAAGGAAAAATAAATGTTTGATTCATTTCACGCTTCCTAAGTTTGTGGCATGGGACGTGCCTTCGCCTCTCAGGATCCAATTCAAGATGACATCTGATTGCATTTTTCTGTTGGTCTCAATTTCCAAAGACCCGTAAAGTCTGAGCAATTTGAGCATATTTTTTTAAAAAACCCTTGTTTCACATGTTCCTCATTTTACATGGATTTTTTAAAGCTTATTTATTTGAATGTGATTAAATTAAGGGGCAACAAAAGAAGAGGAGGCAAATTTTCCTTTCTTTCTGGAGTGTTTTTGCTCAGGACGTTTCCCTCATCAGAGCCCTGCTAACTTTCATAGTGAAGAACACATCGTAGCTAAGCCACGGGCGCTCCAAGAATACCGAGGGGCCGTGGGAAACATGGAGGACAGATCACCTGGGAGCCGACACTCTGAACCACCCTTTGGTGGCACTGACCTCATATTCTTTGTTCTGCCAGCGGCCGCCACCACTCAGGGACCTGGGAAAAAATGCAAAAGCATTTCCGATTCACCTGCTGCCTAGGGCAGGACCGGCAAGCAGTTTTCCCCACAGCGTCTAGAGAGAAGGGCAGGTAACCTGTGTCGGATTGCCAGAGTACTCTATCTTTCCCTCACCGGAAGTCCCATGCCCGTCCAATAGCATTTGCCACTCCGTCTGCCAGTGACGTTGGAAACCACCCCTAAGGCCAGGAGCACAGGAAGTGCATAGTGTGTCCGGTATTTCCACACTGAATGTGTCCATCTTAGAACAGAGCCCCATCGGTGCCCAGGAGGGTCCAAGCTGCTAGTCCAGGGCATGGCAGTCACCCAGTGCAGGAGGAAGGGACAGACAGGAGCAGAGCTGAATCCAGGATGCAAACCTTTGGCACCACAGGGAGGGGTAAGCTGTCCAGAAGACACGCAGAAAGGTGCTCCCTTACCACCTCCCGAGTTCTTCCTAGGCATGACACCGGTCCTGCATCCCATCCAAACCCTCTGCAGCCTCAGAGTCCAGCAGGGCTGGGAGGGCAGGGAGCCCTTGGAGAGAGAGCCCCGGGGAAGGCGTCAAAGTGCTTTACAGACAAATCTGGGCCGACATAGAGCCTGTTCTAGATCCAAGACCTTGGGTGGGGGGTGCATCTCACTACCAAAAAGCAGGTGCTTCCACCCACAAGGGTGAATGCAAACCCATGGACTACCTACCTGCCCCCTCAAAGAGGACAGCAGCCCAAGAAGGATCATGGTTTTGTGGTTCTTCAGGGAAGTGTGTTTCCTCTTCTTCACCTCTCAGGGCCTGTAGCAGGAGGTGGAGTTCTCCTCTGGAGGCTGGTTTCAGAAGACCAGGGCTCTTGGGGCACTGTCCCTCCCTCCCTCTAAATCCAGCAGCCTGGAGCAGAAGCCAGCAGTCCCTTCCTCTCCGGCACCGAGACCCGGGAGGCCACCCACTCAGAACTGAGCTGTTGGCACCACTCTTGGAACTGCAGTTGGGCTTAAGGGGCCACTTGAGATGAAGGACGTGCTTGTAAACCATGAGGCCCTGCACAAAGGCCGGGGTTCCTGTGATCGCCTTGGAGCTCTGCCTTGGGCCCCAGCGGCAACCCCACCACAGCCCCTCCAGAAGGCTTAGGCAGTGCCAACAGCAAAGCTGGAGGGGCCAGGGCCTCAGACGTCAGACCCTTCCCAGGAGACGGCTCAGAGGGAGACATGCAAAGCACATCACCATGGGGCAAAGGCGGTGGGCTCCAAAGCTGGCCGTGCCTGTGCAGAGAAAACAGGCTCCCTCTGCCGACAGGACCGAGTCCCGGCCATGCCCACCAGGGCATCTGTCTTGGCACCCACCATAGTCACTCACGCCCTGAAGGCCGTTCCCTAGCCCAGCGTGTCTCTTGAACAGCAAAGAGGCAGAAACCTCTTACAGAAAGCAGAATCTCCAGGCACGTGCCTCCTCTAGGCCAGCGGTGCAAACGTGCCCGCGTACCACAGGTAAAATATATTATTGCAATATTATAAACACTATGTACATGATATCCAGGCATGTCTTCTGTGTCACCTGCTAATTATATGGTAGCTGAATGTCTTCCCGTACAAGGCCTGATGGCCACTTGCTGGGAACCCCTGAAGGTATCTAGCAAGATGACCGTCCCAGATCAACCTGAAGGGTTGACCAGTAGGGGGGTGTCCACCTCTTACCCAGCCTCTGACTACTGCACCCAGAAGCGGCTCATTTTGTCCAGCCACTCGGGAGAAGTGGAGAGGTAACACAGAGGGGACGAGGCCTTCTCAGGTGCTTCGAGATGAATGGATTGGCGGAGTTGCCCTTGCAGGCTCTGGAGGACGTCCTCTGGAGCCGCAGTGGCCTGCTGAGTCCAGGCCAGGCCCTGTGCTCCCAAAACTAGTGGACAATAAATAAGGGTCTGACAGGTGCAAGGCCCCTTCCCGAGGGGCTGGGGCCTCAGCTCCACGGCAGGAGCTGGTGGACGGGCCGGACACATGGACGAGCAGCAGGGCTCCGAGCCTCATCCTGCTCTGCAGCACAGTCGTGTAACAGCAGTTCTGAGGTGGGCGAGGCGGGTCTGCGGGTTGCGGGCCGGGCCTGCTCTCCCAGGGAGGAGTGTGCCGAGGGCTCCTGCCGCGGGCGCACCGAGACCGGAGCTCAGATTTCCATGAGGGTGATCTTGAAGCCTTCCACCATGCTCTCCATGTTGAGGATGAAGGTGTCCTCGTTTGAGTAGTGCTCAATGATGTTGTCATCCATGTTCACCAAGATGCTGCGGGGGTGGGGCAGGGGTGAGAAAGGAGGATGCGGTGAACCACGTGCTTGGGGCAAGGACAGACTCCAGTGAGGGTGGGGGACGCGGCTTCCCGCGGCCGTTCTTTTGCAAGGGCAGCCCGGAGGGTGGAGGAGAGGGTGCGAGGCAGAAAAGAAGACCCTCATTATATTGTCTTTCCCCCAAAACCAGTTTGAGGAAAGCAAAACCTCGATTTCTCAGATTTGACTTCACGATTCCTTATTAAATAGGATGTCAGAGATTATTAAACTTAACCGTCCTGCTATACAAGTGGGTAAACTGAGGCCCCCAGGAGCTTGCAGAGCCTGAACTCACAGACTTGGCTGTTGGCATATCGACAGCGGCAGGATCTAAACTGCTAGGGACCCTATTTTCATCAAACCATATTGCCTCTTGAAAATGCATCTTAAAAAGTATTTTGCACGAACGAGGAAGAAGAAAATACACTGGAACCGCTGCTACCCTTCGCTGAGCGGGGCCCCACACGCCAGGGTTTCTGAGACCTTGCACTTCGTCCCCGGAGCAGCCCTGCAGGTAGCTGTGATTCGTGCCATGTCCCAAACGAGAAAACTGCACTCAGTGGAGTTAAATCCTTTCCCCAAGTTCATCTGGCTAGTTCACGGCCGAGGTGGGTTTTGCCTCACTCTGAAGCTCATGCTTGACCACACGAGACCTAGTCCTTGACTAACTACACACAGTGGATTGAGTTTAAAGAAAATCAGCAACTTCAAGGCCTGTCCATGAGTTAGCAGTCCTTGACCCAATCCCATCCACTGAAGCCAAACAGCTCCTACTCTGAGGATGAGAAACTGACTATCATTTCACAGCCATGTGTCATCAGGCACGTGTTCAGACTTTCAGAGCTTCAGTTTATTCTTCTGCAAAAATAAGAATAACGACTCTGCTCTAGAGGCTTGTTGTTAAAATGACAGTGTCTAGCGCAGGGCCTGACACAGGGCGCAGTGCAAGGGGGTGTCATCATCATGGGCTTGGGCGCTGAGGGAGGCTTCTGTGCAGCAGCAAGACCTTGAGATGCCAATCATCTCACAATCAGGGAATAAACCCAGACTGTGGCACTGACCTTGGAAAGAACTCAAAATGCATTTCCGTGAGCTTTCCAACAAGGGCTCAAGTGGAAAGGGTTTCTTGCTTGACGCTCCATCAAGCAAGAGACCACCCCATGACTGAGACAGCCCGCACTACCCAGATCACCCATTTTCTTTATGAAAGAGGCCCAGGGAAAAGTGCAAAGACCCAGTCGCTGCTTTTCGTAGGGAAATAGCCCATTAGCTGACTTGATGGAAACCCTCTGGCACTAGGCCCCACCCCCTCCTGCAGTCCCACTCTTAGAGCTTCAGAGGAAGCCCCAAGGAGACTGGCGGTGGCAGAGAGCAGAATGAGGAGCTAAGCATTTGAGTTTGGAGGCCACAGACCTAGGTTCAAATCTGTGTTCCGCTTACTATACATGAGACCTCCCTCTGGCTCACTTTCCTCTGCAGCACACTGGGGACAAGAATCTACCCCACTGCACGGCGATGAACAATAGAGCAATGCATATGAAGCCCTTAGTGGGGGACCCAGGACCTGCTGAACACCCAATAAATGGTAGCTGTTGTTCTAAATGCTGAGAGCGAGCAGGTTCAAGGATCATTTAGTTAATAATTACCTTGGAAGAATGAACTCCTTTTGTTCCTACCGTGCAGCCCTGATGCCAACCCCGGAGCAGCATGGGGTTCCCTATGAACCCCACTCTCTACAGAGGGTGGCTTTGCCACACTTCCCACTTCTAGAGCCCTCTATTCCCCCCACTGATCCTGCCACTGGAGTGGGGTGTCTTGGCTGACATCAGGACAACGCACTATCGCCCTCCCTCCCATTCTCCTGAAAGGTCCCCAAGATGCACTGTGCTTGCAGGTGTTCCCTGGAAAGGAAGGCACAGAATTTTGTAAAAAGGCAGACAATGGAACTAACAAAAGCACCATCTTTGTTTTTAAGGCCCTATGTTGACTTATCCCATCTGAAAGTTAATTTAAGTTCAGTTTCTTTCTTACCCTTTTTTGCTTTTCTTGTAGAGCTTTGCTATCTTCTCCACAGGCAGCCCGTATTTCTCAGATATCTGTAACACCAATGACAAAAAGGCAGGTGAGCACAGGGGGGCAGAAGCAAGGGCGAAAGCTCCAACTTCCTTCCCCTGCAGGTGCTCCTGGAAGCCAGCGCCCTCACCCATGTGTCAAACTCTCAAAGGGCCCCTTTTGCAAGACCCTCCCTTTGGACAAACCTTAAATCATTCAGCACAGATTCAGCCACAAGGAATTTAATCTATGATGAAGGTGTCATTTCAGAGCAGTCAGAAAAGATGGACCCTTATATTAGGATATTGCGGATTAAATGGGTAGCGATATAGAAAAAAATTAACACGTTAAGCTGGATGTCTCCACCACTCCTGTATCAAAATAAATCACATCAAAATTTACTTGTGAAAAATGAAACCATAAAAGAAGAAACCCATGAGTCAGTTTTTTTCTTACTCTTCTTCAGGTAAGAGTAACAAAAAGTTTCCAAGCAAGATATGAAACTTGAAGAAAAAAGAGCAATGGTTAATAAAACAACATAGAATTAAAAACCATCATAAAAAGCTGAGGCCGATTAATACACGGGCGAACATTTTTGCAGCATAATTGGCAGACAAGAAACTAACCTCCGTAAGTTAGAAAGAACCCCTGCAAATCAAAACAAAAACAAAAAATGCCTAATAATTCAAGGAGAAAAAAAATATGAAGAAGTAATTTGCAGAGAAAAGCTGATAGGCATATGAAAAAATGTACCCCCTTGCACATAATTTAAAAGTTTGCATTAAAGCAATAAGATACTACTTTTAACCGATCGGACTATCACAAACTAAAACACTGGCAAACAATGTCAGCCAGGGCATGAGAAACAGCAAGTCTCAGGTTCCATAGACAAGAGAACAACAAGTTCAACCATTCTGGAGGGGAATTTGGTGTTAAGTTGCTGACATTAAAAATGCACATGTCCTGTGACCCTCATATTCCACATCTAGTCATCTGGGCTGCAGAAATACACTCAGTATATGCCAAGCTCTACAAAGAACTGCTGTTCATAATACAGAAACTGTGTACAACAAACTTCCATTAAGCACATATACCTCGGCTCACAAACCAATTGATAAGAGTCGGGACTAGGAGATTCTCATAAATCCTGCACTATTCCAATTTCAACTTGGACCTGCTGGGAGTAGCCACAGCCGCTTGCCTTCACTGATGCTCAGTAAGTTACCAGCAGATAGGCACACAGAGCTCCGCATCTTTTGACTGGCTCGGTGCGTTACAGTGGAAGAGGCACTTCTATGGGCCCTGTGTCTCAGGTGAGGAAACTCAGGCTCACAGGTATGAAGTAACTTGTCCCTGGTCCCTCAGCTAGTAAGGGGCAGTGACAGGATTTGAAAGGTAACCACCTAGCAGCCTCGTTTCAGATTTATAGGTTGAGACTGTTTGGAGGGGACCTCATGGACCCCATCCAATACCAAGCAGCAGCCCGCAACGCTGACACAGGTGCACCAACGCTGCTGAGGAGGGCAGACGACCTCTAGGAGGGCAAAGTGCTGTCCTCGGTGTGTGCGTCCATGGCAAAGCCGGCTCGATAACATGCCACACGGACACAACATTCTCTGTCTCCATGCAAGGTGACAAAGTGCGTTTTGCCAAATTCAGAGCCCTGGAAAGAAGTGAGACCGTGCAGGATATCACGGGAGGAAGCTGGCCACCTGCTGGGGGGTGGGACGTGGCGGGGGGAGTTACAGCATTTCCCGTGCCCGAGTTGGATGATATCGCCACACAACCCTCCCTTCTATGCACAGAAAGCACATGCTACACCACAGTTCTCTCAGAATGAGGGGGCTCGGAGGGCTTGGGTTGTTTGTTTGTTTTGCTGTTGAAGTTGTCTAAAATGAGCATACCCTTTCATACTTTTTAAATAGCCCATTATTAATATTTTAAAAGACTTCCTTGACATCCAGGAGGATCCTAGATCTTGGACACATCTCATCAATGTGTTACTGGTTGTCTGATGATCTATAATTTGTAGACATTAACATGGTGGAGAGTTCTGTTTGCCCAGGAACCTCAGGTGTGTGATAGGTAGAACTTAGCAATGTCCCTTGGTTTTTTGTTTGTTTGTTTGTTTGCTTGTTTTTTTAACCACTGGAGGACTTAGTCTGCTTGTCTCAGGTCACCCAACAGAGCTGCCTGCTCTGGAAGCCAATGACTTTTATCTGGATTCAGAAATTGTTCCATGTGGGCTCTGAGATGTACATTTAAAAAGAAGGGACTCTGGCCTGCACACAGGCCTGCTGAGAGAACCGGGGAGCACAGGCCTTGGTCTCCAAGCCTGAAAGACTCAGCCGGACAGACGAGGGGCCTCCTGGCCCACGAGCCGTGTCTCCCCTTGAGCGCACCAGCCGGCTTCGCCAGGAAAGAAGTCCAGGAAAGCCCCCTTTCTCTAGCCCTTCCGGCTCGGAAGAATCTCAATTTGCCTCCCCATCTGCTAGCATTTAGTCGTTCCATATACATGTGAACATATATATATATATATATATAGTAATTTATAAAGTATTTCTATGTGCTATATTAAGTACCTTGTATATACTCACTTAATCTTTGCACCAACCCTATTTTTTATCTTACTGTTATCCTCTAAATGATATCCCATATTGCTATTGTTCTCATTTCAGAAATGATATAACTGGGGTCTAGAGAGGCTGAGTAACTTACTCAAGGTCACACCTCTCCTAAATGTCAGAGCCGGGATTTGAACCCTGACTGTGTGGGACCAACTACTACACATACTGCCTCTTGCCTGGTGGCGTTTTATTGCCTAAGCTTCTTTCCTTTATATGTTGTGAGCCGTGACTTGGAATGTTATTCATGTTTCACACGTTGGACATCTCCCGAACTGGACTTAAGTTGCCCGAGGGCTTCCGTTGTCTCCATCACTCTGTGGAGCTATCAGACCTTGAGAACCTCTGTGGGCCGCGGTCTCCGGATCTGGAACGTGGGGATGGTGTTTACCACGCCACGTTCGCGGGGAGATTTCGAGAATCGGGTGAAGCAGTGAGCGTGAAGTCGCAACACAGCACTCGGCACGGCGGCACCTAGGTGCTCAGGGCAGTTTATGTTCGGGGACCCGGGATACACAGAAAACAAGAGAAGATGTCCCTGTGCTCATGAACTTTCCATTCACTGGGGGAAATGAGGAAGAATAAACGTTAACCAAATGTGAACTCTGTCAGGTGGTAAATGCTGTGACATAAAACAAAGCAGGACCAGGGAACAGAGAGGTGCTGTCTGTGTAGGTGGTGTGGGAAGGCCCAGCCGAGAGTGGGACCCGGGTGCAGAGGCCTGAAGGGAGAGCGAGCCTGCAGATCCGGGAGAGAAGCGCTCCCAAAAAAAGAAACGAATGCGAGGCCCCGAGGGGTGAGTAGCCTGGGCGGGCTGGAGGACTAGCAAGGGGCCCACAGCGCCGGAAGCTCCTTGATGCGCAGGATTACTAGGTAAGCTCCCTCAGAATTGCACCCCCAGAAAAGAGAAAGTTTGAAAACTCGTGTCACCTCCACTGCCACCATCATCATCACCAAATCCTTGTCTGCAATCCAGCTTAACACTTAGTTATATATAAGGATAAAGAAGCCAGAGTAACTCATTATAATTACATGAATGGCCTGACTGACACTACCAAACACGCAGGTGACAAGAGAAGCATTCTAATTTACCCAAATGACACCAGGCACAGGGACATTCAGTGACCTCTGGCTGGTGGAAAACTTTTTTATTTTCCTGTTCAGGTGTCATCTGCATGAACAATGATTTCCTGGAGTGTGAAATGAAGGCCTGAGAGGTGCAGGACCAGTAAATAAGAAGAGTTATCCAGTCTGTTCTATAGAAAAGTGACCCAGTTTGACACAGACAAACAATGTTTCCACTCCTGTTTGTTGTGGTCAAGAGTTCTCTCAAAGACAATGAGAGGTCAAGTACAGTCTAAACATAACTATTCTGGAAGGTAAGCATGCCCCACATTTTGCAAGGAAGCCAAAGATTCTGAGAGTGACATGCTCAAGACTGCAGAGTCATGGTTTGGGCCCAATCAATCAAGCTCCCCACTCTTTTTCCTTCTATATGCTTCTGCACATGTGCTTACAGTGAGACCTATGACCTTGGCCTTACAGGAGACTTTTCTAATTATAGGCCAACTCAGAAATGTTACCTCAAAGGAGGGCATAGTGTCTGCTGAGTCTAAAAACAACTCAATTTCTAGATAACACAACTCTCCATCCCATTACGTGGCCTTGACTTCCAGACCCAGGAAAATCTGTGTAGGCGGTAGGAACTCTGCCGCCACCTACAGACTGCTCCCGGAATCTGCCCGATGTGGCACCTTCTGACTCCACCCTCAGTTCCCATCTGAAGGGCGGTGGCCCTGCCATTCTCTTTTGTCTCTATGACAAGTCAACATTCCACCACCAATCGCCAATAATAATTTTTAACAGGGAAAAATACAAAATATTTTGGCTTTCCATCCCCCAGTACAGACTTTCTTCTCCATCTAAATAATCCCGCCCTGAGAACAGGGAATTGGAGCTTAACGGGAGAAACGAGAGCTGGTTCTCCGTCGGAAAGCAATCCAGGTCGTCCTGCTGTGGAAGCTGCTGCACCGTCATCACCGTCCCTGTCACCCCCTCAGCCAATGTCTACTGAGTGCTCCTGTTAACTCATTAACGCTCTTGCTGACGCCATTTGGCAGAGAGGAAGTTGGGGCACAACCAACCTTCCCATAACTAGTTCAGGAAGGAATAAAATGACGTGAATGCTGATATGAAGCAGGGGCTCCCACTTCAAAAACAACTGCGAGGCACACCACACTTTCACGTAGGAATTGTGAGGCCCGCCCCTGGCAGACTGTGAGTACCCCCTGCAGTGGGGAAAACATCTGGCCTTCCCACAGCACCAATGGGAGATGGAGGACATAGCCTGGACCCAGGCCCACGGGATGGAGCACACGGAATGGCCTGCACCGCCTCTCCCCGCTCACGGCTACTTTTGCAGGGACTTGGGCCCCCGGAGGTATGAGTGGGGTTATTCCCATTCTGAGTGAATATGCACATCTGAAGACAGAATCCGACCCTAACAGAGGAGTCCAACCTGCGGCCCATGGGCCGCCCGCCGCCCAGGACGGCTGTGAAGGCGGCCCCACACAAAATCGTACATTTACTTAAAACACTAGGAGATTTCTTATGTGTCACAGTGTATGTAACATGTGGCCCAAGGCAACTTTTCTCCTTCCAGTGTGGCCCAGAGACGTCAAAATGTTGGATACCTCTGCGGCCGAACACGAATTCCCAGCCAGGGTTTACCGCAGGTGCTGGCTCCTAAACTTCAGTGTACTTCAAGGTCAACCAGGGAGCTTGTTTCCAACGCTGATGCCTGGGCCCACGCCCAGAGAGCAGGATCCAAAGGTCAGGTGTGGGCTGTGGGATAGCACCACTGAAAATATCCAGGAGATTCCAATGGAATCTCTCACTTAGGGCAGCAATACCCGAGGCCCACAGCACCTGCTGGGTCCACAGTGAGTGGGGCACTGCATTTTTACGGAAAGTCATTTTCAACCAGTGACGGGGATCTAAGTGACAGCTTGAGGTCAAGTGTAATACTCCTGGATTAAAGAGATTTCCTTAAAAGTTAGGGATTTTTAAAAATGTAGCTTTTAGTTGCTAAAAGGTGATGATATTATTTTAAAATGAGAGCGATAACAAAGCGTGGTGGTTAGAGTGCTCTGCTCCCCACTTGACAGCGTTGTTCAGTGTGGGGCCCCGGACTGTGGAGCACACAGATCACTTCTCGGGAGCAGCTTTCTTGTCTCCGGGTGCAGAGGGAGCCCTGCAGACTAATTCCAGGGCTCCGACGTGGTCACCTGCTCACCCCCACAGCTGCGGGCCTCTTCGGCAGTGCCTAATGAGTGGAAAACTACATAATGGAATCACGAGCAAAAATAACTTTCCACCTTTGGGATTATTTGAGAAATCCAAAATCTGAGGAGAAAAAAGGAAGTGTTCACTCTGCAACTTTTTTAGCTCTGATTCCTCCTCAAAACAATGGTTTAGAAACAAAAGCTAACCTCTGTTGGGGACTCAGGAATTGGGCAGGGAGTTTTACATCTGTTTCATCTCATTTCATCCCCACAGTGAACCTGCAAGGTAGATACTGTTATTATTCTCACTTTCGGGGTGAAGACGAGGTTAAGAAGTTTGCCCAGCTAGTGAGAAGCACTGTTAAGAAATGAATAGGGGTTTCTGAGCCCTAACTCCATATGCTGACTCACCAGGCCACACTGTCTACCTGTGTGAGTGTCAGGATGGTAAAATGGCCCTGGCTGGTGTGGCTCAGTGGATTGAGCACCAGCCTGTGAACCAAAGGTCACAGGTTCTATTGCCAGCAGGGCACATGCCTGGGTTGTAGGCCAGGTCCCCAGTTGGGGGCCTGCAAGAGGTAACTGATCAATGTTTGTCTCCCTCTCTTTCTCCCTCTTTTCCCCTCTCTCTAAAAATAAATCAAAAAATCTTCTTTAAAAAGAATGGTAAAATGTTATACAGTAGTGAGGTGCTGCTCCTCAGAAAACCTATACCCCACAGAGAGCACTTTCTGGCCCCACCTGGGCCCCCAAATAAACTTAGGGTGCAGCTATGGCGAGCAGGATCCAGTGTCCTTCAAACTTTTGCCTTCTCACTTCACAGGATGCTCAAGCCTTCACTTAAATGGGACCTGTTGTCCTTCATGGTCTCCCGCAAACTGCAAGGGCTGCTAGTGATGCTGCTTCAGAGTTCGCCCCCCCCCAACTCCCCTGTCACCTGCGGATCCTGAAGGGGCTTCTCCACCCCGCTTTCCCACTTGCAGGAAACGGCTTGTGCTGGTGCTTGAACAAAACTTTTTCTTTCCCGGTTTAATATAGGCGAGGTGAAGTCAGAATTGCTCCAAGAAATCTGACCAGAACCAGCCTGGGGAACCTGTCCTGTCCACAGCTTACAAAGTTGGCGGATACTGTGCATTTCTCTCCCCACCCCCACCCATGCCCCAGCTGAGCAGAGCAAGGAAGGTGTCATGAGCTCCCCTAAGAGGGGTCAAAAGCCCACTCTGCTGTGGTGGGGAGCGTAGGCAGAGGTTACTTGCAGCGGTTTGGGTAGGAGTGAAGGTGATACTTAACCTCACCGTGGTCCAGCGAGACCACAGCTGCAGAACAGTTGCAGAACTGACTGGATGTCGAGGGAGGGAAAGGAAGACACAAGGAAAAGGGGTCATGAATCGCAGCTTTTTGAATCGGTTCGGAATCAGTCTAGATCAGTGTTTCTCAGGCCTGATTGACCTCAGAACACCCGAGGAGCTTGTTAAAAATATGGACCTTCGATCCGCCACCACCATTCCACCTCCAATTTAGTAGAGTCAGATCTGGAGTGGAAGTCTGGGGAGATGCCCTTAAAAATTGCTTAGTTCATGTTTGTATTTACCACTATCCTAGGTGAGTCGCTTTCAGCAATAAGATCTTAGAACCTGGCTGCGGGCTAGGAAAACTGTCCGCAGGAACCCGGGCAGGTCTGAATAGTTTATAAGCTTCTCTAGCTCACAAGTTTACCCCTGGCAGTTTTAGGTTCCTTTTTGAAATCCTGGTTCACTTGAAGAGATATAGATCCTATTTTTGTTGTGTTCATGTCTATTTTGTTTTTCCTTCAGGCACAGCAGACTCAGTGATAATGAACTCCCTTCCACTGCAGGATCTTGTGGGTTAGAAATGATTACCCAGCCCCCATCAGTGTTTCTCAGAGGGTGGCCCCTGCTCAGCAGGGCCGGGACTGGTTCACAACACCAGCCACAGGGGCCAGTGAGGAATCTGCACTGGGGATACTGCTCTGCATTTCAACAAAAACTTCAGATGAACAGTGAAGACATTTTTTTACACATCATACAATTTGCCATTTTTACCATTTTAAAGTCTACAATTTGGTGGCAATTTAGTACAATCACAATGTTGTGCAACCATCAGGAATTTCTAGTTCCAGAACTTTCCATCACCCCAAAAGGAAACTCGGTAAGCAGCTGCTTCTTATTACCCCTTCGCCCAGCTCATGAAGCAGTCATTTCTTATTACCCTTTCACCCTGCTTTCTATTTCTATGGATTTGCCTATTCTTGAGATTTCCTATAAATTGAATCACATAGTATGTGACCTTTTTGTCTCACAAGGAGTTCCACTCCTCAGTGTATACACAAAGGAACTAAAAATGTGCTCAGAGACTTGTATGAATGTTCACAGCAGTCAGAGCACGTTCACAGTCACAACAGCCGGAGGGTGGAGAAACCCAAATGTCCATCCACTGATGAATGGAAACCAAACACAGTCTATCCACACAATGGAGTATCACTCAGCCATAAAGATGGCTGAGAACTGATTATACTACGAGATGGTGAACCTTAAAAACATGCTGAGAACTGTGGCTGAAATAAATCAGTTACGAGAGACCACGTATTGTGATTCCATGTATAGGCACTATCCTATACATTTTACCATTTCACCCCATAACCCCCCCAAATGCTGTTTCCAACGTAGCCAATTTCCCAACCCATAAATGACTGGGACCGTCCTGGGCAGTCCTATCGTCTCAATCGCTATAAAAACCCCACATCTTCTACAACACGGTTGTACAGGAGAAAGTAAGGGTACAAGGAGTTAAAAGTCATATTCAAAGTGGCGTCATGTTAAAGTCATATTAGATAAATTATACATGGATGAAAAATAAATTAACTTTTTTCCTGAGCCCAGGTGAGGTAACCCTTGACTAAATTAGGGGTGAAAAGGGAGGAAGAAACTTAGCATTTTTCTTCAGAATTCTGTAATACGTTTTTTCTTCTTAACCAAACAGAGGTCATACTTGTATTTTGGATTACATTATCACAGCTAGCAAGGCACTTCCTAAATGTTTTTGGTTCCACGCATATCTGGAAATTAAACAATCTAATTTGGTTTAATGCAGAGACAAATGGAATCTCACAATGAGAGAGAGAGAAACTCACAGTTTAACCTTTCTCTGTGCATCTTACTCTGATTGGCCTGAAACTGACAGGGAATTGGCTGTTTTTCAAAGTTTCCTTCCCTTTAAGATGCTAATGAGCCCTGACAGCAGGGAAATCAGTGTCTCCATAAATCTCTCCGCCTTTTCTTCTTCTTGGCAAAGCCATTGCAGAGCCATCTCAAAGGCTGCATTTTAATGAATGGATTCCAGCTCAGGAGACCCCAGCGGACAGTTCCTGCAGAGGGGCTCCCTGCTTACCGCCTCCATCAGGCCCTTCACCGTGGGCGATTTCAACATCAGGGCGTCGAACACGTCGTCGGTCTCCTTCCTCACGTACAAAAGCACTGAAAGAGAAGGGGGAGGACAGCCGTGACCAAGGAGCCTGTGCAAGCCCTGCAGCTGCCACAGGAGACAGCCTCCTGTCACACGGGCCTCAGACACGGACAGTGACTGCTAATAAGCCTCGGACCCCCGAGCCAGGCGACATCCCACTTCGCCGGGCAAGGGCGACGAGGCAGTTCCCTAGACAACCTGCTGCTAGGCACTGCTAGGGAGCGATTGGAGGGCGTGAGCTGACCACTGGGCAACAGCACCTCACAGGCTGTAAGACGCTTTTACTCACTGTTCACCTTTGAATTTCTCAAGGTGGATACAGGATATCTTTCAGACGTCTCTTTCTGTGACTTGTGCTTTCTATTTATTTATTTGATCATTCAACAGGTGTTTAATGAATTCCCATCTGGGCCCCTAGGCCCCAGGCTGGGAGCTGGGAGCTGAAGCTGTAGCAGCCTGCTCTGAAGGTCGTAGTCCACTTAGGAAGGCGGGCGTTCCTCAGATAAGCAGACAGCTAGATGGAGTCTTAAGGGCTGTCCAGGAAAAAGAGGAGAAAGTGCTTCCCAGGGTCTGAGCTTTCCAGGGTGGTGAGAGGGGTGGGCCTCCCAGGAGGTTACCTTGAAGGAGAGATCTGACCTATGAAGGGTGTATAGGCATCGGCACAGGCAAGGGAGGTGGGGAGAGCGGGGAAAGAGACAGGACAGGAGAGCAAAGTCCAGCAGACAGAGCGACCTGTGTGAAGGCCCTGGAGGGAGGGTACATTTCCGGGGCAAGTTGTGAAGGGTATGACAGGTCTGGCTTTGACCCCAGTTCCGCCTGCCTTGGTCATTTAGCCCCTCCACGCTCTGCTTTCCTCTGTGGAACACGGATAATAACAACATCTGCCTCATAAGATTGCTGTGAGGGTTAAATGAAGTAACCCGCATGTGGGGTGCTTAGGACCGGGCCATGCACACAGCAAGCACCCATTCCTCAGACAGCGAATGCTTCATCAGGAAGCACTTGTCACGGTTCTAGTGCCCCGAGTGAACACCAGTGCAGCTTTCTGTTCATTTCTCTGTAACAAAACAGTCTGAATTTGGCAATGCACAGAAAATGGGAGGTGATAAGCCCCCCACGTGTCACTAGAAAGGTGAAGTCGCTCCAACAATGCATACAGTTCCTCCCAGGTACTGAGAGACTTAGCTCTCAGACAGAACTGGGAGCTGCCATTCAGATGCAGCCCTGCAGCCCCAGCGAGCTGACTGCCCTCTCTCACTCCCGGTGACTTGGTTTGTGGTTCTGCCTTCAGAGAACAGGAGGAGGGCCAGGGCTGCAGCCTGGGGCACCTGGCCACCGTGGAAGCTTGTGCAGGCCCAACAGCCCTGGGGAGCCGGGGTCCCCACTACAGTCAGGTACCAACTGAGCTACAGTCACCACCAGCCCGAAGGAAGGACATCAGAGCCGGGACATGAAATCAGCTCAGGCCCGAATCTTCCCCACCGTCCTCCCCACTCCCCAAGGACTTCATTAGAGCCGCTGTTTTAGAGAAGCCGGGTCTGCACGGGAGCACCTGGGTCCTGTCTGGGTCTCCTCTCCGCAGCTGGCAATGTCCCGTTCCTGCGAGACAAAGGCAGGGCGGGACCAACCCATGTACCCTCAGTTGCTGCAGTTTCTCCTCCTTGCCCAGTACGGAAGCAAAATTCCAATTAAACAAGTAGACTAACTGTGTCTCCAAGGAGTTCCCAATTTAGTCCTTTTGAAAGAACGTTTTAGAGCTTCCATTTCGGCTACAACGAACTAGTCACCTAATGACATGGTAAGAGGACTGAACGTTGGCCGCACAGTTAGCCCTCAGGACCTCGATTACCACTAGATGAGAAAGTAAAATGAATGAAATAAATATAAAAACAAGCAAGCAGAACACAATAAAACCTCTAACTAGTGGCTCCTACAGATGAACACTCTGTACCTTCTTCCCACAGCTTTCAGCAGAAAAATCTAATTTCCGGCAGTCTGAGCCCGAAAAAACCCCAAACCGTTCTCTGTGAAAATGAGTACTGCTTCCCCAGCTCACAGATCCTTTTTAAAATGATTGTCTTTGACATAACGTGGCTTCGGAAAGGGCTAAAGGTGGCATGGTGGCACGATGACAGACTTGTCCTGCTGGGCGTGTTGGCAGCCACATGCCGGCACGCTGGGCTCACAGCACACCCTGCAGGGTGCCCAGGGAGCCAGCTTCCACCCAGCCTAGGACATGGACAAAGGCAGATGGCCACAGGGACAGCCCCAAGGGACTCCAATCAAAGCCACCCTGAGAAGTGGCCAGACAAGCAAAACAACAATTAATGACATTGGTGATCATTACGCTGATTTGCTCTCCTGGAGAATGTCTAACGAATCCACAACAAAACCGTCACTGACGCTGATTCCTAGCACTCGTCAAAGACCAGGAGCTCAGACGGGGTGGTGGGGACAGAGGGGGAGGGAGGTGGCTCTGGGCAGGGGCTCAGTGACCACAGGATCCCTCTGCAAAGCCAAGCCAGGCCTGGGAGACCATTTCCTCTGCTGCTGATAGGCTGCAGCGCCCTCATGTGTCCCTATGAGGTAGAGGTTTCAAGGGCCGAGTTCTTGCTTTCCATCCCAGCCCAATACAATTCCCGGTGGCAATTTTTGTCCCGAAGTCACAATCCCAGAATAATCTGAAAAATCACAATCCTTGAACTGCTCAGCATGCACTAAATAGGGGTGCAAGCTACAATGAATTTTGCCTGTGTTTCTTTGACTCCCATAGAGCTCTGCCCTCATCCTAAAGTACGAGACACAAAAGGTAGGCAGTCACGGAGCTCAAAATGCACTCCAGTGTTTGATGGGGACCCGTGAAGTATGAAAGCCTTTTAGAGGTTAAATGCTGCTGATGGAACTACCAGTCTGCAGGCAAGTCGGTCTTTCCTTTCTGAAACACTAATTACTTACTCACAGTTATGACCGCATACCTTAAGTAGGTCCAGGCCTAATCCTAAAACTGATACTTAGAATATCGAACACAAGTGCTCACAATGTGTCAGGCACTTAAGTGTTTTATGAGCATTCACTCATCGGCCCTCACAGCAGTCCTGTGAAGTCGGTACTCTGGCTGTCCCCGTTGTACCAGTGAGGACTCGTCAGTAGCAGGTGACCTTCCCAGGGTCACACAAGTCTACTCAGCTGAGGGAGGCAACAGACAGCATGCTCTTGACCATCCTGTAAATCCCATTGAAACAAATGGGAAAATAAAATAAAAGTTCTCAATAACAAAAATCTCCAGCCTGTGTGGAGGGCGAATATAGTTAACATGGTAAAGCTGACTCATTAAAACTCCAGTCCTGCAGAAGTGGAAGGTCTTTGGAAACTCTGGATGTTGGCTGCAGCAAGCTATGGGGGAACCGGTACCCCACCCGGAATCTCTCCTCTCCTTCTGAGGAAGGACAGCGAGTTGTGAACAGCATCAAATGCTGGGCAAGAACCTGACATGCTGCCTGGTTTCTGCCTTTCTCGGGGAAGTTGAGTAAGACCCTTGACGTGAGAGAGGATGAAAATTGTGACGTCACTGAAAACCGGTTTATTTCTTTGTGTGAGATTAATCACGTGCATCTACTGAACAAGTCTCCTCCCTGGCGCTTAGGTTATTATCACACACACAGCAAGAGTTTCTTCTTAACCTTGTATCTCACTGCTGGGTGAGTCAGTATATTTATTACATCCCTCCCAAGGCAAAGCAAAGAACCAGTGCCCAGGAAGAATAAACATTTGCTTACAGTGTTTTAAAAGCCAGGGTTTAAAGCAAAGGAGAAGACTGTGAACTGCCTGTGCCCATTAAAAACACCCCAGGCCAGCCCTGAACCACAGGGCTGTGTTTTTCTTAGTCCAGCGCCCCATCCCGCTCCTGGTGGGAGGGCGGGTCGCCGTGGTGATGCCGGTGGAGCGCCCCGATGGGAGACATACCTCGCTTCATCCCTTCTTCTTTCACCTGCTTGGAAGGTGTTGGGCCAAACTCCTCTTCCAAGGGCCTGAACATCCGTTTAACCAGGACACTGCTGCTAGAAAAGATGAGCAGAAAGCATTAAGGAAAGCAGGCAGGGCACTAGAACAAAGGTTCGCGCATGCTCAGTCCCCGGCTTTTCCTTGGCTTGCATATCCCTGGTTTTCCACAACTGGGTCTGCTCACCAGCCTCCTTCTTCCCCACTGCAGGTCCTAAGCCATCCCTGTTTGAGGCAGAACACACACACCACTGTGCTTCCAGCCTGGACGGAAGACACACTTCCCATGGCCGAATATGGATCCACCAAGGTGAGACCTCTGGGTTTTAGTCACTCTCTCCTGCCCCTAAGCCCTCGTCCTGCTGAGAAGGTAGGGGCTGGGGAGCAGCAGGATGAGCCCTGTGTCTGCGTGGCCTCCAAACCACACAGCCCCCTCCAAACTAGCTAGGCCCCGGGTGCCTGCACTTGCCAGCCCCGAGGGCGCAGAGGGGAGCTGCGGAGATGTGCAGGCCAGCCTCACTGAGCCTCAGTTATGATGCCGCCCTGACTCCCTGCTGCTCCACGACTCCATCTGGTTGGAGCAGATAACAGTGCAGCGGAGGAAGTTCCCTAGAGACCCAGACCTCTGCTACAGACCTCTCCCTCCGCCTGGGGAGAGGGTGTCAGTCCCCTTTCCTGAGAGCTCATGGTGTGGTGGCCTTGCATGGCCCCAGCTGGGTCAGTTCTGACAGTTCTGCGTTTCCTACCAAAGTTCCTGTTCTTTCTGGGCATGCGAAGAAAGGGAAGGACTGTTCAAGGGGAACAGAAATTGGAAACATGGACTGTCTTTGAGAGGAGCGCACTGACGCTGAGTGTTGGGGGCTCTGTGCGCTGGCTGGGCCAAGCGCCAATCCTACTGGCCTTTCAGTGATGGCCAGACTAAGGCTCAGAGGGCTGAGTGCCTCATGCATGGCCATGCAGCTGATAGTGAACGGAGCGGTTAAGAGAACCCAGCTTGGAGGGACAGCCTCATGCTGAAGGTACTCAAAAAGTCTGAAAGGATGAGTGAGGGTAAAAGAAATGGTAGTAAAAGTCCGCCTTCTCTTATTTTACTCCCTAGTAATCAAACCATGGAAAGAGCTAGAAGGAAAATTCAAACCCAATTCCCAAGCAAAGGTGGCAGCAAGTTTTCAGTGCACTATTCCCTCTGTCTTCACCTCACTACTTCATCCTAAAAGCAGGTCATACTCTTCTGCCATATCTTGGAACTGGAGTGGCCGTGGCCTCAGGAGTAGTGGCCAGTAGGTTAACAATCGGGAGAGAGCCCGAAACCCGCCAGACTGCAGACGTCACTCCCTCGGGCTGCGTGAGGGCTCCTAGACCAGTGGTTTTCTTTTTCTCACCAAGCGAGATGTGCTTGAATTTTTCCAGTTCTGTTGACTTTTGATAGCAACCCCGTTCTGAGCTGTGAAAAGCTTTGCCATTAAAATAACATCTTGGGTAAACCACTTTTCTCCTGAGAGTTCAAAACTGCTTTTTCACACTTTCAAGTCTATACTCCCAACAGGGAGTCAACGAGTGCGTGTGGTCTGAGTTCGGCTGTCACATTTATTTACAAAATGAGGCGAGGAAGGAGGGGCAGATATGGCTGCCCCGTCGGAAGGATGCAGAGAGCCTGAATTCCAGGTCTCCTGACGCCCATCCTACTGTACTCGCCTGCGCAGCAAAAGGACTCGAGGACAAGGGGGAAGGTGCTGTCTCTGTTGTCAGGCTCCCTCCCACTGGCACATGAGTGACAAGCTATGATCCAGGACAAGCAGCACATGAAGCCATTACCCAGAGGAAGCCAATGCTTGAACTATAAACAAAGGGCTGCTAAGTTTCCGCAGAAAAAACAAAATCCTCATTTCACGGTGGAGGAGACCAAAGCGCGGGGGTCAAGGAGCTGGCCCACGGCTTCACACTAAGAAGCCGCAGCCCAGGTGCAGGACACAGGCTTCCTGAGCTCACCGTCCTTGTTCTTCCCATGATGCCACCTTTTCCCTCATAAGATATGTGAATAACAGGACTGGTCACGCTAATCATTTCTGGTGATTACCCATGTGTCAAGGTCAAAAGAACAATCTAATCACATGTTTGGAAAATGCAGAGCTCAAGAGTTGAGAGGTCAGATCCTGGAGAAGGCTCTGATTCTCGCGAGCTGGGGAAGGGCTGGCTCCTTTGAGAATCCCTGTCCTTCAGCACAGAAGGGGCGCTCGGCTTTCTGCAAAGGGCACATCGGTCAGCACTCAGGCTTTCTAGGCTCTGCTGTGTCCAACTCTGCTGGGGTAGCACGAGCACAGCCGTGGACCAGACACGAAGGAATTAGCACAGCTGTGTTCTAATGAAATTTCATATCATTTTCACATTAGACGATATTCCTTTGAATATTTTCAACCACTTAAAAATGTTGGTAGACCCGCCCTGGCTGGCAGAGCGCAGTGGTTGAGTGTTGGCCTGTGATCCTAAGGGTCACTGGTTAGATTCCCAGTCAGCGCACTCGCCTAGGTTGCGGGCCAGGTCCCCAGGAGGGGGCGTGCAGAGGCAACCACACATTGATGTTTCTCCCTCTCTGCCTCCCTTCCCCTTTCCAAAAACAAAATAAATAAAATAAAATAAAAACATTGGTGAACAACACAGAAACAAGTGGTAGGCCTAACTGGGTCCTTACGGTGTATTTTTCCCACCTCTGCTCCAGGAAGTGACCCAGCAATATCTCCTGTACTTACTTCACCTTGAAATGTTTTGTGAGTAAATATATCAATTATATAAGAATAAGGAAGCCCTGGTTTGACTACAGTTTGAAAAAAATCAATCTAGAGATTTTTAGTTATACACATGTCATGCAAACCACGATTCTGGGTACAGTTAGGTAGCATAATGTAGATGTTGAAAAATGAATATCGTTGTAGGTTGTTTAAGAAAGAAAAAAAAACAGCATTCCAGTCACACAAAGAACTAGAGCCAATGACTAGAAGTCAGAAGAAGTGGACAAACTAAGTTTCTGGGGGCCGGAATCATCCCTCACCAAGACCTACCTCACACCCAGTAAGCATGTTCAGAACATTTCTATCACTGAGAATATTCAAGCGGAAGTTGGCTGCTCAAGGATGTGGCAGAAGATGTTACATTGCTTAAGAGAGAGGGCCAGTTAAATGAGCTTGAAGGGTCCTTCTTGGCTCTAAAATTCCAGGAGCCTGTAACACGAGTTGTGGATGGCAAACAGGAGGCCGAGTCCTGGCGCACGGCACCCTGGGAGCCTCCGGCGAGCCTCAGTGCGTTCTCTCTTACCCACAGTCCTACCGACACTGAAAAGGTTCTCAGCCTCCCAGCAGCCCACCTGGCTCACTGCCCAGAGCGAGGGCTTCAGGAGGTACCTGCAGGTGGCCCAGGTAATACCGGGAGCAGGCAGGCTGCCTCCTTGGCTCTTGCCTCAAGCTCAGTTTGAACTTGTGTTGAGGCCAAACAAATGATTTTGGTAACTGGGCGATCGGTAAAAAGGTGTAATCAAAGAGATGTGTCATTCGGAAGAATAGCTAGTGATTCAAAGATAGATCAGAGGAAGGAGAGAATAGGGAGAAGAGATTTAGACAGAAAATGGTATCCCCTCAACCTTCCTCTGAGTGCCCAGAATCAAACATTTCTCAGCTGGGAGTCCGGCGCCGAGAGGCAGCCCACCCCCCACCCACAGTTACCCTCGGCGTGAAGAGCCATTTCTACTGAAGTGCACTGACTTTGGGTGTGTAAGTGAAAGAAGTGAGTGTCTTACCCTTCTCGCTCGTCATCCGCGTTGTAGTACACCTGTGGGACAAAACGAGAGGCTTACGGCAGGTCGGAGACAGGAATGGAAACTCGGTGCACCAGGCCCGGACTGTCCCAAAGCTTCACACTGTCTCGCAAAAGCAGACAAATCTGTTTCCTGGTTCTGTGTATGTGTGTGTCGAAGGAAATACATATTTAACCCCCTATTCTCCACAGGGTTAATTCTTATACGTTAATGAAATAAAATTGGAAATCTCCTCATTTCCTCCTCCAGTTGGTCTGATCAGATTACCTCTAGCTCTAAGCCAAATCTTGCTTTGGACAGTAAGAAGATATTTTCCTAGGATCTGAAAATCATTGCTCAGACGGGCTCTAGAGCAGGGCCTGTGAGTGAGCGGTCCCATCGGGTCCACGGGTGAGCTGATTCTGGGCACTGTGCTTGGGGGATGGAGGGGAGCAAGAAAGACAGAGGGTCGTGTGGCCAGGCAGTGGTGACCCCAGGCCTCTGTGCATTATTCCTTGGAGATCCCGAATCCCTGGCAACCTCAGAAATTTGGGAGTCAACAGTCTCCAAGCTGGTAAGCACACTCAGAATTAGAGCGATTATGAAGCATCCTTATTATTTCATGAAGCAACGGGAAAACTGCAGCAGGGATCTGCTAGGTACATAGGTTCTCTTGACCCAATTCCTTACGAAGATCAGTTGTAGACCTTTCATGAGCTGTATCTGTGGGCTCCGGGCCTGTTTCCATTTGGGTGAAGAACAATGCCCAAGGTACTATCAGACACTCACGTATTAACTTCAAAAGTTGCCTCTAGTTCTAGTGCGTTTTGTCACTGTCCCTGCCCCAGTTCCCTGGGAGAGACACAGCTGTGCCTGGACAGACACCCTGCCAAATCTGGACTTAGTTGTGCAGCGGGGCCGGTTACCTGTAACTCCTGGGGAAGAGTCATTCCGATCATGAAGCTCAGATTTCCATGAGGAACGTTCTCCTTTTAAATATGTTTGTGTCTATTGTTGTAGTACACATTTTGTTTCTTCTCAAATAGAAAACGATGAAGGGAAGATGCCCCCCACCCCCAATTCCAATTTTCAGTGTGGCATCCGAGACTCTGTCATTGTGATGCACTAGAAATGGGACTGTCCATCTAGAGGCAAGTGGAATGACCCACGTAAGCGAGGGAGTCTGGGCCACAGCATTGGCTATGCAACTGGATTTCTGGTCCGAAGGTCCTGATGTGGGTCTGAGTTTGGCTGGATTCTTTCCATGTGGCATAAAGCACCTGCCTGCCTGGCTCTAAGGCAGGTGGTGGACAGCTCTTTGCCAAGTTGGCTGGCAACTCAGACATGGGAGCGACCTTCTCTTAAGTGTTTTTGGACCCTCCTGAATGGCCTCTATGGCAGAGTCCCTATCACCACTCCGGCAAGGTCCTTTCTCCTGTCGCGTAACGACCCACTCTTTCTTCTTTGTTAGTTGTAGGACTTACTGCACTAATTTGTAGAGTGTTTCTCAGACTTTAGAGTGCATAAGCATTTTCTGGAGGCCTTGTCATCAATGCACATCCCTGGAACCCCTGCAGGGGGTTTAATTCAAAAGACCTGGAATGGAACTTTGGAACCTGATTCTTGCCAAGAACTTCCGTGTTTTAGAGGAAGACAGCTTACCAGCCACCGCTGGGGAGATGGCTCCGGAGGGTGTGAGGGAGGAGCAGCACCCCCAGGCTGACACAGGCAGGGTATACACTACCCCAAAAGATAATGCCTCTGCACCCCACAATTTCTCCCAAGCTCCCTTACTGTTTGTTTTTAAAGGCATTCTGGACAAAAGCTGCAGGGAATATCAGCACTTTAATGTGAAGAGAGGGGGACTGAAGATCTCCATGGTCCTTGCACAGTGGATTTGTCCCCTAGAATTAGTTTTTGATAATCATCTGGTAAATATTCCAGTCCATGTGCAAATCAGTGAGATCGCAGGGGAGGAGGGTCCGAGTGGGCTGAGAGGGAAAATCCCGCCTCTCCGGTCCACGTCCTTGGCTGACTAGGAATCACTGTAACATGGCTGGGGTGCCTGTAAGTGTCACTCGAGAGTCTGTCTGAATGAACTAGAGGGCTCCTTGCCCTGCACTTGGGCAAGGCTGTGATGTGGCTGGTTCCAACAAAGCACCTGCCTGTGGTGGTTACTGAGCTCACACTATCGCTTACCTCCTTCCCCTGCCCGCCTCGCCCGCCCCCCAGGGCAGAACTGGCCCATCCTTCCACCTGCCGCTGCTGGCTCTTGTTTAGCAAGCCCAAATCTGCCCAATTCTGCCCCATGCCTCTTTCTCACCCTATGGCACTGCTGTCTCCCCTCCTGCTTCTGGACCCATCTCCCAGGCTTCTAATTCTTCTAAGAAAAGGCATCCTTGACAGGCTCGACCGGCCACACTAGGCGCTTCTTTCCTTGGTCCGGCAAGCTGCCCGACCACAGAACAGTCACGCGTGGTGCCAGGGTCCAGCTGAGGTGCCCCTTGGCTGCCCAGAGCTCAAGCAGGCTCCCTCCCTGACCCTGTAAAGCTGACTCTGAGGGCACAGGGACAGCCCGTGGGCTCTGCCAGGGTGTGCCCAGATAGCAAGACCCAACTTCACCTATGGCTTGGTGACAGGGTTTGCCGTTGCTGAAACCAACCAACAGTAAAGCAAAGAGCTCTCCTTCCCTTTGGATTCAGCCACAGGCTGGGGGCCCAGCTCAGGACGCGGAGGTGGCCAGTGAGGGCAGAAGGCTGACCCTCATGGGAAGCCAACTTGGGTCCCTTTTTCTGTAAGAGTCATTTACAGCTTTTTATGGTTCAGAAAAATGTTGCCAAGAGAGTAGGTCAGGCTGTCAGCGTTGACATGACACTGAAACCAGAATCATGACGGCAGACAATGAAAACAACCTCCCTCAATGATCCTCTCTTCTAGTAGGTGTGGAAACCTAACTCTGTAGGACTCCATGCAGCGGAGACTGTCACTACATACATCACCACCATGTATGTGCTTGAGCATTAAAAAATAAAATAAAATGTAGTGCTGGCCTGCATATCTTGATAAATCGTAACATTCTTCCTTCCCCTTTTGTGTCCCTGTTCCTATCAAACAAATAGGACAAGATGGGAATGTCAAATTAGCTTTTAGCGGAATGTGCCCTAAGAAAAAGCTATGGGTGTTGTGTTACCCTGCCATGTGTGCTGCTTTGTCTCACACTCACCAAAAACAACACAGGGGACAAAATATTCTTAAAAGGAGAAGGCGACACCAAGAGTGGCTTCTCCTCCCAGACTAAGGCCAGTTCCAGTGAGTGTCTAAACACTCGGAATGGAGGGAACATTGAGTGCATCAGTTTGCCCCTCTTCCTCAAAACAGAACTTCCTTCAAAGGATTCTGGGATTAAAGAAAACTAACCAAGGCGAGGTGCACTAAAACTCTGTTGGTGTAGTGAGAGACAATTCTAGCAAGTACTAGGAAAGTCATTATTATTTTCTTTTTTCCCCCACACATCTTTTGTTTATCACATGAAATAAACAATACAAAAGATACTGCAGAAAGAAAAAAATTATTCATATGTTGTAACCCCACCATCAAGGGCTATAACTGTCCTTGTTCTTTTTAATTTCAGCTCTACATTTGGAATTACTGTGTAGAATAGATAGGTATTCTACTTTTTTTTCACTAAAGATTGTCATAACTAGTTCCCATTTTGCAACATAGTTTTCATTGCTATAACTTTATTGACCATAGAATACTCTATGGGAATTTGAGCTACCGTAATGAGTTCATTATTAGATTTTTATGTTATTTTACTATTAGCTCTTTCATTTCACTTGTAAATATACCTAGGAGACAGAAATTGTTTTTTAAAGAGCTTGTCTACAATATCATTTTTGATGTCAATTGATTTAGCTATTTAATGGGATCTGTTAATTTACTAAAGGGAAAATTGTCGACAAGGCTTTATTTAATCATGGAGTTTTTCTCGTGAAACTTTCTGAAATTACAGGCAGTTCCATTTCCCTCCGTTAGGGAGAGCTCTATGGCATCAGGCTAATCCCACGTGAGGAGACTAGCAAAACTTCTTGCAGGTTATCAGCCTTCTAACATTCCTTCCTCTTTCGTAGCTTTGTCAACACTTCACTAATTTCAGCTCATTCTCTTCTTCCCCTTACTAGGTTGGTTTCCTCTCCTGAAACATTCCTTTGTATAAAATCCCTTTTCAGTAGGGAACGACTCTGTGGAGTGCATGGAACGCCGGTTTCGTTTTTAAGGTCAGCACTGTCTGAAGCGATTCTCTCTTAAGGCCCTACCAGCCCCCGGAACAATGGCGGGGAGACGTCAGCAGGCAGCCCATACCTGTCCTGTCCTCTGCAGGTTTGCGAAGTGCACATCGGGTATGAAGAGGACCGGCTGCGAGTGCAGATCAGGCATTGTCTTGAAGTAGGTGATGTCACTCTTCTTTTGTAAAGGCATCGCTGCCAGCTTCCCTTCAGAGGCTGGATGTGATCAAAAACCCCAAAATGAGAGCGTTATTCATGACTAAGAGCTCTCCAGTGAAAGCTCTGGTCTCAGCTAACCTTCACGACCTTCTCCCGGGAAGCCTTCCAAACACCATAAATGTGAACACACTTGAAAGACCCCCACTTTCCCGCTGCCAAACCAACAGGAAGAACTTGGACCTCCAGTGAGCACTCTCGAGGCAGAGCACTGGGCCCCTCCTGCCCTCCTGTCCCTCTCTGTGTCCTAGATTTCTTTTTTTTAATTTTTATTGAACTTATTAGGGTGACACTGGTTAATAAAATTATATGGGTTTCAAGTGTACCATTCAATAACACATCATCTGTATATTGTAATTCCATTACAATGGAATTACATTGTACAACCACCCAAAGTCGAGTCTCCTTCCATCACCATTTACTGCCCCTTCACCCTCTTCTATCTCTCTCACCCCCCTCCCCTCTGGTGACCACCACGCGGTTGTCTATGTCTATCAGTTTTTTGTTCATTTAATCCCTCCACCTTTTTCACACAGCCCCCTTCTCTGTGCCTGAGATTTCTCGTCTGTAGAAGGAAAGTGTTGGTCTCTATGATAATGACAAAGTCCCTCCTAGTGCAAACACTCCGTGGTCATTGACTGTATTTGCTTTTCACTGGGACAATTTACTCTGCCTCTACTGCTGGGGAAAAGCAAGCAGTCCCTTGCAAGTCTGCAGTTCTGCCTGCAGCCCACTGCTCCCCGCCTGTTCCCTAGCGGGCCCAGGGGACCCCACCCCCTCTCATACTCACAGTTGTTGCACTGGGCTTGGGAGGCCTGGCCTTTCCCCTTCTTCCTGTTCTGCTTCCTCTCTTCATCTCGGATCTTTCTTTCTGCTCCCTGATGGGGAGAAACAAATACAGACAATGCCGGGCATGTCACCCCCACACACAAACGCACTGCTGCACACAAACCACAGAGACCGGAGACAAAACCAAGGGAGAAGGTGAGGCGGCAGCCCCGCTGCCACCACTCCAGTGAGGGCGGGCTTGGTTCTAAGGCTGAGAGTGATCCTGCTTCTCCCAGATTCCTCCCTTTTTTTGGTATCTTGACTATTTAGACAACTTCAGTTTGAAACCATACCGAAAGCCCAGACCCAGCTCCCCATCCCAGTGAAGCCAGTTCGGTAACATGAGTGATTATAATAAATGTCCTAAGATGAAGCCTTGGCCCGTGACCATCATCCCTAGGCCTGGGGAGAGCATTCAAGCTGAGTGTGAATTTCCTGTAACACTTCTTCTTTGCCCATTATGATGGAACTTGTTATAATCATTACAGCAATGGAAGTGACAGAGGGCATAGGGCATACAGACAGGATGTAAGATCCCTTTGTATCTACAGCATGATTTTGTGTTGTTTTCATGTTTATGGAGCCTTGGAGACAGTGCTTACTCAACCAAATAGAAAAGAGTGTGGTCCATTCACCTCCTTTTTTGCTCCTCTGTTGCTTGTGATCTGGTTTTTTCATTGCCTCCCCTTCCAAATCCCGTCCTACTTAACCAGTTTACCATCACCTTCTGTCGCTTTCCTTCTTGGCCTTTGAGGATCCCCTGATGACCCCCCCTCTCCTTGGTCACCCTTCTACGTCAGCTTTGCTACCAGTTTCTTCTCTCCCTGCAAACACAGATGCTCTGACAGTTTCCTTTTCCTTCCTCTCTCTCCACTCAATGGGTGTGAAATACAGGCAAAAGGATCCTATCCTTCATTTCTGTTGCATCCATATATGACATTTTTATATGTATTTGGAGCTCTGTATAATTAATGTAAATAGAAATGTGAAACTTTTATCTACCTATAACAATTATAACTCACCCAAGACACACCCCAAGGTTTGTCGAGCAATTTTATTGCTAAATTCATGTTTTATTTTGTAATATTTCTAGGAGGAAAAGGTCTGGAATTCATCTGTTCAAAATTTTGATATGTTCAATGTAGATTTTTAGACAATAAAGTCACCTACTAATTATTTCACAGACATTAACATAAAAGATTAATGTAAAACATGGCCCGCTATGAGCATGGAAGGCAGTTCTGATGGTGTCTAAATGCTCTGGGCAGAACCACAGTTCCTGTCTCTAAAATGAAGCTCCGACTCCCGATGGCCCGGGGGGGCTTTGGTGCATTCAGTTCAGATGGAGGGAGCTTCCCTGGCCCTGTCCTTCCAAGAATTCCTCTCCTTCCTTTGATTTGTTATGACCCCAAACTTCTAGAAAACATTCCTTCCACAATTATTAAAGTGTAAAACAGTCTAGTTCTTCCAGAAGAGCATCATTTGTATACTTAGGGACAAATACCAAACTTGCCGTTTGAAAAAATTTCCCCCACCTAAATGTTCATTATGGAGCATCGAATTGAAAAAATTTGCCTGAAGATTTACTGATCATATTGCGATCACCTCTTGAGAGGTCATGGCTATTTTTGGTTTTTATTTGACACATACTGTTTCTCTTAAATTTATTTATTAAATGTGCTTTAATCCATTTAAAGTCGGCCAAGGTACCAGGAGGGGGGGGTTGTAAGGTTTTCCATAATCTTCAACAGGCATTGCCTCCAAGACCATTCCAAACAAAAATTAAAAGTGAGAAAAAAATTTAAAAATCTCACTCCAAACAAGAATTAACAAAAAGAAAAAAATCTATTTAAAAATAAGACTGTGGCTTTATTTCTCAAGTTTTGCCAAACACACAGTTACTGTTTGCACTGATACCATTCTTGTTTTGTTTTTTAATTCCCATCCTCCCACCTTCTTTCTCTTTGCGGAACCACGGCTTCTTCTCTGTGCTTGTTTCTGTTTTCTTTATTCATTTTTTTAAGATTTCACCTATAACCGGGATCATACAGTGTTTATCTTTCTCTGTCTGACTTATCGCACTTTACATAATGTTCTACAGGTCCATCCACATGTCGCAAATGGTAAGATTTATTCTTTTTTATAACCAAGTAGTATTCCATTGTATACACAGGGGAGCAACAATAGGTTTACGGTTGTGAGTATGCAAAACAGTTTATTCTTGTATTATTGTTTATTAATGACTGCATCAGTTTGCATAGGAACAACTGTAAACCTACTTTTGCCCTGCCCTATCTGTGTACAGCATCTTTATCAATTCCTCTGTTGATAGACATCTAGGCTGCTTCCTTATCTTGGCTATTGATAATAATACTGCAATGAACATGGGGGTGCAGGTACCTTTTCAAATTAGTGTTTCTTTTTTTTCTGTGGATAAATATGCAGAAGTGGAATCGCTGGAATGTATGACATCTCTAATATTTGATTTTTTATGGAAACTCCGTACTGTTGTCCACAGTGGCTGCACCAACTTACAATCCCATCAACAGTGCACGAGGGTCCCCTTTCGTCACACCCTTGACTGCACTAATATGTCGAATTGTTGATGGTAGCCATCCTGACCGTCTATTTTAAGCTGAAAGTTTAAGTTGGAATATATTCTGTGAGGATTTCATTCTTACTCCCTGCTTCATTCGTTATGTTACTGATACCATATTTTTTAAAAGATTTTATTTATTTATTTTTAGAGAGAGGGGAGGGGAGGGAGAAAGAGAGGGAGAGAACTTTGATGCCTCTCATACGTGCCCCAACTGGGGACTGAACCTGCAACCCAGGCATGTGCCCTGACTGGGAATCGAACGGCAACCTTCCACTTTGTGGGATGATGCACAAACAACTGAGCCGTGCTGGTCAAGGCAACGCCATATTTTCGATCTTTGTGTAGTGGATCTTTGAACTACTTATGGTAGTTTGATTTGAATTTGATACTTGTCTGTTTTAACTTTTGTAGTAGCTTTTTAATTGTCTCATTGGTTGTATTTGTTCCATTCTTGTTTTTCATGAAAGATAATGGAAGTAATTAAATACAGATATAAAGACTGAGACATAGGTACTAAGTAGAGGTAGACAGATCCTATACTTAGACAGATGTAGACAGACCCTGAATTTTTAATGCCTAAATGGATGCGCGGCGCTTCAGTAGAAGGGTCACACCACAAACAGAGACAACCCGCTCACCCTCTGCAGTCTCACAGGCGCATCGCCTAGAATTCAAGGTGGAGAACCACAGCTAGTACAGAATGCCATCTAACACTCTGGACTGGGATTGGGAAACTTACAGTTTTCAAAGGAAAGATCTCTTCATTCTTTTGCTCTCAATAATTCAAACTCATCACTTACAATTATACAACCATTTGAAAAGTATAAATATTGAACGTTTTCTCTTTAATCTTCCAGGAGTGAGTGTGGCCTGGTTTTTTAAATCAAAGCTGCAAATGTAATGACAAATTGCCGCAAAAGATTTTATATTTAGCTTATTAGAAATATTAATAGTGGTGAAGGATAAAATACTCTGTTTGTCCTGTAAGATTTCTTCCTTTCTTCCTAAATTTCTGATCCTCAGTATCAGAATATATAAGTTAAAAACTACCCACCAGAAACTCTACATCACTAGCAACTTGCAACAAATGACAACATTTCCCAACATCCCGCTATCATTTCCTTCCAGTTAGCACTGTTACATATTAGACTGATATTTAAAATAGGAGCTATAGCACCCTGGCTGGTGTGGCTCAGTGGACTGAGCGCTGGCATGCAAATCAAAGGGTCACTGGTTCAATTCCTAGTCAGGGCACATGCCTGGGTTGCAGGCCAGGTCCCCTGTAAGGGGTATGTGAGAGGCAACCACACATTGATGTTTCTCTCTTCTTCTATGTCCCTTCCCGTCTCTAAAAATAAATAAATAAATAATTTTTAAAATAAAAATTAAAATAAATTAAATAGGAGCTATAGGAAACACCATGTATTTTCTGATCGACAAAGTGTTTGTTAATATGATTCCAGTTCCTATACACAAGTACCAGCATGCACATATAAATGAGCTGTTCTCTCAGCCATTTCTTTCCTTGCTGTGATTACCCTTTTTTGACTTTTGGAAACAAATGCTTCGAATAAACCCACACAATCCTCTTTTCCACCTTCTCCCTTTTACTAGACATGCTTTTAAAAATATTTTCAAACAAAAAGCATAATCGATCATTTTATTTTCTCTCTTAGGTTCTTATAGTCCTTATTCTAGGGCATATATAAACAATAATACAATACTTCCTATTCGTTCTGCATTTTAACTTTGATTTTTAGAGTTATTACAACACTGAAGAAAAAAACAATTATACCAGTATCCTTTAAGCACTAGCTGTGGAAATAAAGGTAAATGGATTGATTGCCCAGTGCTTCTGGCTCATTCTGCCCCTCTCTCTCTCCTTGCCTCTAATTTTACTCCTCACTTGCAAAAGGGAGATTTAGGGAGGGGGACTCCAGGATCAAGGAGGGGAACCTGAATTGTTTAAATGCTCTTTCCGTTGTACTTTTAAAATTCCATGTTGTACCTCAATTTAAAATGTTCTGTTACTGTTTAATATGCTGATTTAAAGATGTAACTGCATTCTTTTGTTTTGCGTTGAAAGTCGACCTTGACTCTTTGTTGAGGTTTTTAAATCGTCCCTTGCCATTTTTTTGGTGTTTCATATGTATAAAGCTACTAGTTCCCAGGAGTTATTTGCATGCGGCTCCTCTCATTTTCACTGGGGGGGACTCTGGGCTGGCTGGCCCGCTGATTTCTCATCTACACAACCACTGCCCATTGACTGAACTGCCCTCGGACCCAGGAGGCTCTGTCCCTGAGGGCGTTCTGCTGCTCTGACAGCTGACCGATGGGCCCCAGCTGAAACTGTCAGGACCTGAAAGCTTACACTAGATTTTAGTATCTGCCACTGTGCTGCATGTCCGTAAACTGAGTGCAGTTCTAGTTCGGGTATTTCCTTATCTCTCCCTGTGACCACCTCTGCTGTCTGTTCACAGAACCCGCTTCTCCCTACACTCTCCCTCCAGCAGCCCTTGCAGAGGTTTTAACAGCACAGTAGGCCTCACCCAGCACACTCCACTCTCCAGTGAGCACCGTGGTTCAACTTTGTAGGTGTCCTGCTCTTTCACAGTCAAGTGGCCCCTTTGCTTTCCATAAAGATGCTGATAACACACAAGTCTTGAAATAGTCGGGATGGGGATCTCGTGTCACACACTCATGGGATTTTAAGCTTAGCTATCTAATTGCTTTGTCTCTGAGGGCCTGACCCCGAGAGATTCAAACACTGTACCTCCTCCAGAGTGCATGTTTACTAATGCACTTAGGTGCCATTTCCATTCCAAAGACCTCTAAATGAGACCTCATTTAACCCACAGAGTAACAAAGGTTACATTGATTGTTCCGGGACAGGACCTAGACCCAGTATAAACTATTAACCTATTATTTCAGTTACCTGAGTGAATCAGACTCAGTTCAATACCATGTCAGTTAGGTATTAAGTTAGTCATAAAAATGATTGAAAAAAATATACAGTTGACTGATGACTCCCTAGATATCTAATAGGAACTGAGAATGAAAGATTACCACTCCCCCGTGACTGGTGAGTATTTTGACACCACTAGACAAGAAAAGGTGACAAGAGGGGAAGTTCATTAAAAGTAATGTCTAATAACAAAGATACCTTTATGACAAACTGTCATCTTTACTCACTTTGTCGCAGAAGACCTTGATCTGGCAATAAGCTCTATGAATGGGTTTATTACTACGATTATTATAACTGTATGTATCAATCTGAATCATCAAAGGAAGTCCTTTCACGCCTTTTTGGGAGGAGAAATCTGTGCTCAGGCAGTTCACAGTGATGAAAATCTAAGGGAGGAGAAAGAAAAAAGGTTCTTCAGTCACCGGGAAAAGAGCCAATAAAAAATTCACAAGCTTAGGACTAGAACTCAGAATACAAAACTAATCTATAAAGATGACTGAAGAATATTTGGATACTTTGATATAAGAACATTTTGAGCATATAAAATATAACAAATTACATAATTTGTAAATATATAAAAATACTGTTTTCATACTTAATCTAAAACAATTAAAATTACTTTTCTTAGAGTACACTGATAAAAGCTTACTAATTTTTCAAACATGCAGTGTTAGCTGAGTAAAACACTATTTCCTTAACATGCTAAAGCTGTGACTTCTAATAATTATATCAATTTTCCTAATCTCTGACCTGTGGGGTAAAAAAATACACACACACACTAAATAACACCTTCTGCATTATTATACTGAAATGTAGTTATTTGTTTACATATCTATCTTTCCTACGTAGCTGTTATGTATGAGATTTGAGAGCATTTCTTATCATCTTATATTACTGAGACCTAATACAGCTCATGGTGGAGAACAGGTGGTCAATAAACATATTTGATGACTGAACCAATGAGTCTGTCTGTAGAAAACCCACTAGAGAGGGAATTAAAGCACCAAGCGTGAGCCCCAGCTCTAATCCAAACCAGCCAAGAGACCTCGGGCAAGTTCTGTATCGTCTTTGGTTCTCAATTTTCCCTTTAAATCGGAATGTAAACTCTGTTCTAGAAGAAGTGGAAAAGTATGAGAGGAGCTGGCAAAGGCAGGACAGGAAACAGGAGGGCAGCAATGTAGTTAAGGCACCAGCAGCCTCAGCTAACCACATGCGCCATCAAGAGAAACAACAAAAAATTTCATGAAAAAAAGGAAACAATTATTAGAGATTATAGCACTGACCAATAGAAGAACTAAAAATAATAATTTTATTATAAAATATCGAGGAGAATAGAGGGAGGAATATGAGTGACTAAATTTACCCTCATTTTACATAGTGGGTAGATGTCAATATACCATTTAAAGTCAATTTATTGTAAAATAGAGTGCAGTGCCTAGATTCACATGGTAACTATATAAACATTAAGAGTTGTCTCTAGGAAAAAAACAGGTGTTCTGTAGTATACTCCTATTTTCATTTAATACCATATGTATTATTTTTACTTCACATTAAACTTAAAATCATATATGTGTGCATTCTGAAAGCCACTTCATCAAATTTATTATCTGCCCCGTGTTTTATTTGGTCCCCCAAAAATTTTCATTCGCCTCCAAACCCTTGACCTGAACAAAGCCTTACACCTCCCAGCAATACCACTAGGAAAGAGCCAAGGCTACGAGCCACGTTTTCAAAGCCATTCAGATCGTCAATTTAACTGCCGGGCCTGACCCAGTTAATTACCAGCTCAATGCCTGTAGGCTTTTGGTAATTTATACACCAGATATCTAATTTTTAGTGCTATTTCTATATCATGATTATTTTTCCTTTTCTTTGTGAGCGAGCCTCTTACCTGGCAATAAGAAACACATTAGCAAGGCATCACACATCAACAGCAGTCAAGGCCAGAAGACAGGTCAAAAAACAAAACCTACTCTCCTAGTGACACCTGACTTCTTTTATTGTTATTCCTGGCATGGCAATATCTTGGCCAAAACATGGGAGCATGACTTTATGTCAGCAAACCAAACGCCCACTCTGGTGAGCGATGCAGTCGTTCACTGTTTTGGCCACGTATTTCATGCGCTAACCTTCCTGTTGGCGCTGTAATCTACAGGGGTCTCAACCACACTGGTTATTTTTCCATCCCTCGTAAAGTCTGCCTAGCACTGCAAAAGCCAGAGGAGAGAAGTGTTCTGGTAAATATTTCCTAAGCTATTAGGATTCGTGGCTGGCTCACTGAGTTGTCTATATACAGCACTCACAGCGGGCATACATTCCACAGGCAGGAAAGAGTATTCACTGTGGCCTTGTCAGCTTGGAGTCTCAACGTAGAGAGCTGGGCTGATGGAATGCATGTATTTACAAAGGCCACTTCCGAAGGACAGGCCTATTGAAATAACAGGTGTTTACTGGCAAAACAATACAATTAATAGACCCACTCCTCCTCAGAGGAGCTTTAACAATCAGCCACCCAGTAAAGAAGGTTTTTAAAGGTCAAATGAGCTACAACACGCTGGACTTCACCGGGAAACACTCAGACTGGGTCCCGTAATAGAGAAAGGTTCTTCGTAGAAGGTCCAATGGGCTCTCTTTGAGACATGGCATCCTGAGTCTATGAAAAGTAAACAGCACGAGAACTGGCCTCCTTTGCTATGTGGTGCTGGCCTCCCAGAGTCCTCCTTAGAGGCAGGGGTATATGATAGGGTTGGCACAGCTTTCCTCTTGCCTGGCTGCCTGACCCTATAATAGCAAAGTATAGTTTCAGACCTGATGGTATCAATCATAGTCTCGCTGCGGTGCACTCAAAACCCAAATGGTTGAACTTTAACTGCAGTTGGGGAAGTGGGTGGGAGTGGGAAGGCACAGAAGCACATTAACTAAAACCCTGGCTTGGGAACTGATAAGCATGAATTTGTTTCATCTTGCAAACCCAACCATGTCCCAGCTCCAGGCACGGCAGGCGAAGGTGAGATCGAATTACTTGGAAGTTTATCTACAAAGCACTGTTTGTAAATGTGTATTACAGAAACTCAGGGAAAGATATGCTTTCCCCACCGAATGTTCATCCAAATGTCAGGCACAGAAAGTTCTTTTTAACCTCAGTCAGAGCCGTGGTTATGTAAGGAGCAGGTTTAAGTGCCACGGACAACTGGTCTGTCCCCCCAAAGTTATGAACGTTACATATGTTCCTACAATTATTTTCAAAATCTCAGTTATTTGTTTTCCTATAATTCTGACAGTATGTAATTTAAACAAAAACATATTCACTAAAACAGGTGTATCCAGGCCAACAGTAGAAATGATTTTAATTCCGTCACTGGTTTAAAGATTGAGTCAGATAGAAAGATTGTTTCAAAACGTACCAAGACCTTTCCAGAAATAAAGGCAGTGCCATGACAATAGACATTTTTAAATAAAATAGTGTTTACATATGAATTATAATTCCCACTTTGTAGTTCCTGCAAAAAGACCAGTGATTCTGCCCAGGTTCTGATACCTCTCAGCTGTGCAGTATGGGTAGTAAGATTTATTAAAATAAAATAGATCAGTGATGGGCTTTAGAATGGCTACATTAAATTGATTATTAACTCCCAAGATTTTTCTGAGAGTTTGCCATTAAAATAAATGGGCCGATCTTTGATTTATAATACAATTTGAAATTTAAAAAATCAATAAATATATCCATGATTTGGTGGAAAGTATTTTTCTCTTTAAATAATTGTGTTTTGCATTTTCAAGAAGATCCTTCCAATTACAGACTACAAAAACTATTTTCTTAGGTTGAGATCCTTTTCTAAGAAATGGCACATGCACTAGCCTCCAAATTACAGAGTCATAAAATCAGCATTTTCACCCTAAAGCACAGACAATGTGTAAATACAAAAGTGTGGTCTTGTCAATTTCCCTACTCTGTTTTCTTCTTGGTTCTTAGAATCATCAAAGACCTTCAAATGGTTTTCTTATATTTCAGCATTTTTCTTCCATTCTATATGATTGTATTGGGTGCAGATGCAATACCAAATAAGACAGAAAGATAGACAAAAAGTATACAATATTAATGTGTGAATTCTCAGTCTTGGGCATTATTTGTTTCTTCATGCATTCATTCATCAAATATTTATCAAGAGCCTGACATCATGCTAGGAGGTGGGAAATAAGAATGACTGACAGGTTAGATACCCTGCCCTCAAAGAGCATGCTATTTTGTTGAGGATGGAGGAAACTCCTAGATTTCCTGACACCTCTATTTATATAAGCACATTTAGGGAATGATTTAAAACACGACAGTATATTTCTTCATTTTCTCCTACGACACTATGGGTACATCTGTATACACACATACACATTGGGTTTACTCACGTAGTCCACCACAGTGTTCTATATTGTTTTAGTACTCAATATTTTCCATTTCTAGAACACAGGAAGTATGCTCTCAGCTGACAGCCTTTGCTATTTGCTCTGCCCTCCACTTCCAGTGCTGTCCCCACAAATCGTCACATTGCCAGCTGCTTCTTCTCATTTGGGTTTCAGTCCAAAGTCAGCTCTTCCCTGACTGCCCCGGCTAGAGCTGTCTTCTGCTTCTTCCTCCTCCCATCTCTGCCTCCAACCAGTAGTACACTCTGTTACTCTGCTCTCTTCTATTTCCTTCCAGTTTATCTCATTGTTCATCTCTTTAGTGCTTAACTATCTGTTCACTGTGAGCCCATCAGAAGAGGGCCCTTGTCGGCCCCAAGTTCACTCTAGTCCCAGTGCCAAGCCCACGGTAGATACTCAACAAATATTTGTCCAATGAGTTAAGATAAAATTACTTTCCTAAATACACATTTCCCTCTTTATCTATGCTCTTGCTTTCATAAGCAAAACCTCTTAAGAGTTGAGATTGCCTTGAGTAGCTGAACTTGTCGAGACAGTACAGTAGGGGTTGCCTCTCTGACCAGATTTATACTCAAAAAGTGTTACCTGCCTATATATCAACAACTATAAGTTGAGCACCAAATAGATAGGTATAGATACAGGAATAGATAGACAGCGATAAAGACAGATGGTAAAGCTATAGACACAGATGAACACACACGCACACGCTGTGGAAGATGCTGATAGAGGGATGCTATGGGAGATACAGAAGCCTGTGGCAGGACCCTCCCTTTACAGAAAAGGGGGGCTGTGACAGTTCCCACTGTTGTATAGTGTGTATAACTTGATAGTGAGTTGAATACCCCAGGCTACACTTGCTATCCGAACATGATGAAAAGGAGAAAGCCCAGCAAGTCAGCCAGGGAAGATTTCCTGTAGGAGTGCTGAGCTGGAAGAAGGAGATAGCCTATTGGGAAAGGAGGGTTTGTGT